TGTGCTTGGAGCATGCTGGCTGACGCACAGATGCTGAATTGGGTTTCTCTAGCGGGCGTGTCACATAGGAAGGATTGCAACGTGATCACCCTCGACGGTGCAGTTTAAAAACGGCAGGTGAATGTGAGCGTTTTGCTCCATGAGTCCTCATCTGCCATCATTGACTGACTGGCTGGCTGCATGAGACAGCAGGTCTCTGCTGTACCGTCACACCCACCAGAGCCTTTACGCAATTGCCATGTCATCAGAATTATATAATTACCTAATTTAATCCCTTTGCACTCCAGGATGTTATGGTGTTATGTTTTTATTTTCTTTCATGTAAGGCCAACTGAGGCGCAAAGCTTCAGATGACAAGGCTGAAAACCAATAATGATAACTCATTAAAAATATACTATGCAGGATTTTCCTAAAAGACGATGTATAGACTCATACAGAAGTATGTAATCCCTCTCAGTCATAACATGACCACTAAAATGTTTGGCGGTTGATTTTTCTGCTGCAACTGAAGTGGAGTGCTTAAAACCCTCCTAGCTGTTCTAAAATCACATGACCACACATGTATTTACTATCAGCAACTATTATGCTCACTTTTCTCTGGATGTTGTAACTGCAGAGCCTGTTTACTTGTTCAGTAATTAAGCTACACTGTAACAAAAATGATATCTAGCTATTGACAACATAACCAGAAAAAGTGAGCATAATAGGCTACACATAAAAACATGCAGGCTAGCTAACATTACATCGTTAACCTACCATAGATGGTTGGTGTTCATGTAGGTTTTCTGCTTTGGATGAAGATAAAGGGCTGAAGCATTGGATGGCAGCAAGCGGCAATCTCCAGGGCTGAAAAATGCGGAAATGCCAAAAACTGCAGTTCCTTATATTGGCCACTTGAGGCTGGCTCTGGAACGCAGTTAACCCCCATAGACACCCATGTTAAAATGGCCGACTTTATAGCAGAAATAAACATGTTCACATCCTGGTACAAAAAAGGTTTTGGTCTCTCGAGCTACTTTACCCCTCTGTGACAACTGCTAACTTGATAAATGTTTATATAACTCACTCACTAACATTTTATTAAGGCTTAAAGTTGCTTCTTAAAGGCGGCATAGTTAAAGGCTTTCAGTGACAGGCTGTCTGTCCTCCACAGCTCCAGCCTCTCATCCAAATGTGGTCACTTCTGGCTCCAAAAAAACCAAGATGGCAACAGCTGAAATGCCGAACTTGAGGCTTCAAAATGGTAGTCCACAAACCAAAGGGTGACATCACTGTAACTACGTCCATTACTTTTATTTACCTCTATTGGCTGTAGCAACAACCGGTGGGCCTGATGTTATTTCTCCAACTATATGACAGGACGCACTTGGTTCCCTGACTGCTCAAACTTAAATCCCTGTGGGCTCTCTTTTGTTTGTTTTGTGGCATCTTTGTGGGGGTTCTTTGGCATTCACTTAAGGACAGCATTTTGTTCTTCTGATTGTTTATGACCTGGTGGATGGTAAATGACTAGGAACGACTAATTGGGGCAGTAATGCTGAAAATGTATTGTGGCCGAAGCTGTATGTTTATAGAGTATTTTGCATTGGCTGCAAACTTGGTTCAGCCGATCAAAGACCGGAACAATCCGTTTTATAAAACTGCATAAAAAGTTATTTCTGTGTCATTCCCAGTCAAAGTGACCTGATATATCAGATCGCAGGCTTCAGCAGGCCGTTAATTACAACCTCGCCATGAAAAGAACATGTTGCAAGAGTTATATGCTTGTCATAACCAAGGTCAGGCACATCCCTCAGACTTGCATTGGTTTCCATCCTCTGAGAAAAGCCTGCTGTCCGCAGGTTCTGTCCCACTTCCAGACTTGTTGAGGCAATAAGTCATTTTGACTGAATGGTTACAATTTGTTAACGTCACAGCTACCACAGCTTTCCTTTCCCGTCAAGATTATCACGCCGCTTTCTCGGAAGTAACAAAAACTGGAGAGGCTGAGTGTAAAAGAGACGTCACATCTGTCAGAGGGCTGGAAACAAAGTCTGTGCTGATGGGATGAACCTGCTCGAGCTTCAGTTCAGTCATGTACTGAGGTTTGATTACCTCTTTGCAGTCCAGCTGCCTCTGACTTACTTCCCCTCAATATTCATTACCAATGTGACAGAGAACCTCCACAGACACAGATATTACACTCTTTTATGTGACACATATGGTTTTCTGACCTCAGTGGCACACACAAGATGTGAATTTAGGCCAAGCACATACAGTTACAGCTATTTATAATGTTGCAGGCTGGATGTGCCCCACATAAGATTAAAGTCAGATCATTTTTCTGATATATCTTCTCTAAATATGTTCAGGAAAGACTTTGTCCAGACTACATACACTTCCTCCTGAGTGATAAATATGCCTGTGATTTTAACACTCTCTAAAATTATGTGTATAAACTGTCTCTACATGACCGACACTGAGATAAACCAGGGGTGATTCTGAGCTTAACAAAAGGACATATGCTACATTTCAACTGGTCATATCTTTATGTTTTATCAGTTCATGTCGAGGTCTAGAGGAAGGGATATATCTGCTTGTCTATGTGTGTTTTTATGTCCAAAATATTGAAACTGTGAGTTTATATAGCGCAAAACAAAATCACGACTTTTTTGCCCTCCTGACATATTGTTTATGTTTATATTCCCCCATCTAATGTGAAGGTCAAGCTGATCAGCCTGTTGTTAATAAGCCGGTTCAGGGGAAATCGCCAGAGAGACGTCATCAGCATCATCGACAGGAACTCTCTGGCCAGTGCTGGCTGTCAATTTCTTTCAAACAGTGCACCCAGTATGAACTGAGCAGCCAACATCACGGTCAGTCACACGTCATCACAGAGGTTCAGTGTGACGTTGCCAAAATCCAGAGGATTATTTAGAAAAGAAGCTGGAACTAAAATATCGGATTTCTTTCTTGTGACAAACCTCACTGCCAAAAAAAAAAAAAAAAAAATGTCATCAGCTTTTACAATTCAGGCGATGTCAGACTGACTTGATGAGAATTCATTAAAATGTCTTGTTCAAACCAAAAAAGGGAGAGTCCCCATTTTCACTCCTAAGCCGGAGCTTTGTGGCAGTTTCATTGGCTAATGTGGAAAAAGTCCTGAGGCAGCGTCCACTTCCTATGTAGAACCAAATCAAATCGGCTCACTGCCTCCCTGCGGACGTGTCTGATCAATAGGTCCCACGACTACGTCTCATGCTGGCAGAATGCAGCTCTGGATGGAAACTAACTAAAATTTGCTGACAGACGTGTCATACTGCAAACCCACATTCACCTCTGATACAACCATATCGATCTCATCCATTGCTTAACAGTGTTTTGTGCATATTTATGCTGGATTAGAGGAGCTGGAGGGGGGATCACACAATGCTGGCTGCATCCTGCTGTGTTATGTAATCTGTGTGTGTGCATGTGGGTTTGTAGACAAATCACAAAATCTCTTAAAAAGTGGGCAAATTCGGATCGATAAACAGCTGATAAGGACAGGATGATGTTTACTTTTGTACTTTTTTTTGGCTTTTAGAAATGTTAATTCTACAGTCCTGCTAATTCTACACATTAACACCATTCCTCAAGACTCTCCAGAGTGCAGAATACACTGATTTTCCACAGTTTACTAAAAGAGATTGGGAGAAGCGAATGAGGCGTTCTTTCCATTGCTGTCACTGAAAATGACTTCCAGCGGAGCCGACTGATATAGCATGGGGTCTCTATGGGCTTTCGCAGAGCTGGAGTGAGTCAGTTTGGTGAATTATAGTAAATGATGGTGTGAGCTCTGACAGCTAGCAGCCTGGAATTTGGGCCGCAGCTCCAAATTAGAGGAGCACAGCTAAAACAGTCGAGCGGGCCTCCAGATGTCACACATTTTGGGTCAAAATGCAAATCCTTGGAAAATTCTTGCACAGTAGATGGATGCAGATGCGGTGCTTAGTTCATGCAGAAGGCTGGCTGATAACTGTTGCTAAGTTAAAAGGTCACACAGTATCTGCTGAGACTGAAGCATCGTTTACAATCAATGCATCAACTTCAATGATTTTTATTTTACTTTTTTATTGGAAAAGGACATAAACTTTTTTTAACAACTGCCATATCAATATACAGTACTTGCATTATAATTTACAAAAGATAAAAAAAATCTGTACAGTCTCTGGTTTGTGCAGGAAGGTGAGAGGACCCTGGTAGAAAAATAAAGACCTAAGACAGGAGAATTTTCAATGTGAGAACAGATAAAATGGTTTCATTTAAAGGTCTGGTGTGTAGGATTACGTGGCATCTGGCGGTTAGGTTGCACAACTGAAACTTCTCGGTGGTGGACACGAAAATGCGAATGGTCCTTTCTAGAGCTAGTGTTTGATTTGTCCAGTCTGGGCTCAAGTAGAAACAACATGGAAAACTCTGTGGAAGAGGGCCCGCTCTGTATGTTGATATAAACGGCTCGTTCTGATGTAACAAATCACTATTCTTATTTTTAGACTGTTGCATACTAATGAGAACATAACTATGAATATTATGCACCATTTCTGCCATTAGATGCCCCTAAATCATACAAACTGGACCCTTAATGATTTCCTTACCAGAGAAGCAGTACAGTGTTCTGGCCTCCACTGATCCAAGCAAGAATGCGTCACAATAACTGCTCAAAAACATTAAAGCTCAATCTTGTGTAAGACTGAAGTCAAGTGTGCTACATTGTGACTGTATTATTAATCAGCGGACTTGATCTTTAGAAAGCATGGGTCCATTTAGAAACAACAAACTTCACCCGCAATAGTAACATGTGTCCAAATTCTGCACGTCTGCAGCACCAAAAACACTGATGTTAATATAAAGCAGACTAAAGTCAAAATCAACTAATTCAGTGTTTCAACAGCCAGCAGTCACTGTTAGATGAGGAACAGTTAGGGTTTTAAATCAACATCAACTAACAGATGAGTTACGGTTGTTGTCTCCTATATATATGTACACATTTGGCTTTGGGTTATTAAACAGTTACTACTGTTCTGGGGGGGGGGTATATTCTCTGGTGAGGAAAAGAAAGTGCACTAAAGCTTTGGAAAACACACTGACAGGATCATGCTCGTCTACATCTAGAAATAACATTATAGACTGCATCTTCAAAATGGATACTTTAAAAGACAAATAATACATTTTGGCTTCTAGATTTCCCTCTAAACGTACAATATGTAACTTAGCAGCACTTATTGTCAACATTCGTAACCTCGGCTCAGGGTTCCTGTCACGCTTCACCACTGACCTGTATTGCACATCAGAACATGAAGACCCGCAAGGAGTGTCAGTATACTGCACAGTAAATCACCTCTTGGTGCTTCTGCTTCCTGTGACATCTATTGCAGTGTGTGCTCAGAGTGCCTCCACCAGTACTGAGACTTTTGTAAAGGCACACGTTGCAAAAGATGCTATACTTAGACGAGATAATGGGTTGAGGAGCGTAGTGTACTTGTGCTCGTAATCTGTGCGAGACATCTCTTTCCTGCATCACGCCATGAGATAAACACCAAGACCACCACGCCGAACAGGGCTGTAAATATACTTTGCTAAGAGACCAGCTCATTAACAAACAATAGCCTGTTTTTTAGGAGCCTTTAAAACAAGATTCTTGACCTTGTAATTAGTAAAAATATATTCAAATTTTGGTTGGCAAATCTCAAAGTTTCAGGTTCAAATCTTTTTTTTGAATCTATATTTAATTATTTAAGCCAGTCACCATCTTATGTGCAATTAGGCCTCAAAATAAGACCTATTATTACCAGGATGCTCAATGCAAAATGTGCAAACTGCACATAAATTAATTAGAAACTGTATTTCTCTTGTAAACATAGCAATTTCTCTGAACCCAATTGGCTATTCTGCTGAAATATATTAAGGAGGGAAGACTGCACTAAGTAGAAGTGAAGGCGTCTAGCCCATTTTGTCCCTCAGGCTCTATGCAACCAGTTCATTTATCACCACTTTCACCAAAAACAGTATAACATGTCTGGATTCCCATGGTGTCTTGTGCGTGAGCTTCTGCATAGAGAACTTCATACTCTAATCACAGTCTTTTACAAACTGTCATGCATAATAAACAACAGCAATCGGGACCAAATTCAAGCTAGTTTGATCGCTGTGGTACCCTTCTTCACCCCTGCAGTCATATTTCTGATTCTGCTGTCAAAGGCCTTGATTCTAAAGGCAAAGAGTCCAGATTGCATTCAGAGTCTGACACCATGTCTGTGTTTGTGTCCTCGAGTGCACAGACCTCAGCACCCCTTATCTCCCTGTTTTCCTCCTCGTCGAACTCCTCCTCCATCTCGACTTTTTCGAGAGCCACCTCGTTCTCGTAGCAAAAGGAGTTCCTCGAGCTGGAGGCGTCGGATTTTTTCTCTGCTAGTTCCCTGGCACTACAGTGGGGTGTGCTGGGCACCTCGTAGGTGTTGTCAAAGCGAGAGTAGTCCACTTTGTAGTAGTTCTTTTCTTCAAAGAGCACCGGCTCGAAGCGGTAGCCCCAGAGGATCTCGCTGGCCACATAGGAGCTCCGACACTGAGTTGTCATGGCTGTAGCTTCCACCATGCCCTCCAGAATCACAACGATCTCAAACTCTGATGTCTCCAAATCCTGTTTGCTCATCTCATAGAACGGGCTGTCCTCATCAATCTCGTGCACAATGGTGATTGGAGACACCAGGAAGATTCTGTCGATGCCACTGTCAAAGCCTACATCAATGTCTACCTGATCCAGGGGGATGAACTCTCCCTCTGCAGTGGTGCGGGACTTGAGTAGCTGGGCCCTGACGTGGGCCTCCACCAGGTGACTCTTCCTCAGGTTTCCCACGCGCCACATCAGACAAAGTTTACCGTCCCTCATGGCCACTGTGGCATAATGGCTGAACACTAGGGTCTCATTCCTCTTTTTGGGCTTGGCCATCTTGGCCATGACAGCACCGATGATGAAAGCATCAATTATGCAGCCCACAATGCTTTGGAAGACGACCATGAAGACAGCGACAGGGCACTCCTCTGTCACATAGCGATAACCATAACCAATAGTGGTTTGTGTCTCCACTGAGAACAAGAAAGCAGCGGTGAAGCTGTCCACATTGGAGACACACATCTGAGTCTCATTCTCTAAGTCCCCGTAAGAGAGTGCCACTACCCAGAACACAAAGCCAAAAAACAACCATGACAGCAGGAAAGAAAGGCAGAATATGAGCAGCATCCAGCGCCAGCGGATGTCCACGCAGGTGGTGAAGATATCTGCCAGGTACCGCTGGCCCTTCTCACTCATATTGATAAACTGCACATTGCAGTGGCCATCCTTCCTGACAAAGCGGCTCTGATGTTGGTGCTCTGTATGCACCTTGTTGACATTGCCATTTCCATAGCCATTCGGGACGGCAATAGCAGCCAGCTTCATGCCATCTTCCTCGGAGGACACAATGCTGTAACGGTGGCTTCGCACACTCCCCATCGCTTCCGCCTGGGAGGGCTGGGCCGATTCTGCTTTGGAAAACAGTCTAAGTTTTTGGTAGAAGCGTTGGAGAAACAGTTTTGAATTATCCTGGGGACAAACTAAAGCGGAAATCGTGGAGAACAGGACCAGATCCTGCAGGGAACAGGGGAGAGCGGGCCTGTGCTTCTGCAGGCGTGCTGTACACCTTTCATGCGGACAGGTCACTCCTATCCGACGGCTGCTTTGAACCTCATCAGTGAAGTGGGCTGTGGAAATTACAGAGAGAGAGAGAAACAGTTTTAAAGTAATTGACAGGAGGCAGAGCAAAGATCACTGTATGTGGGTGTGTGGTTACCTGTTGTCTAAATAATGCAGTGTACACTCAAAGTGAGCTGAGCTATTCTTGCATACACAGAAAATGTCCATACAGTGTGTGCGGTGCAGTCAGAAAGCACATGGAATGCATTGTGTATTATCAGTAGTAGATTAAAAATATGATTCAAGCACTTAGATAGCTGACAAAGTGGGAAAGGATGTTTACCCTGCTTAATGTAAGTATTAATTAGGCAGGTCAGTCCATGGGGAGTTGAGTCAAATTACAGATCAAGTCCATGTTAATCCAGCGAGCCACTGGATCAAAGTAGCAGCTCTGTGCAGACGCTTCTTTAAACTCTACACAAATCTGCACATGTAAGTGAGAAAGCAATGCACGCAATTATAATATGATGCATGCGTGAAAAAACTTACAGCATGTTCAGTAATTAATTATTACATTTAATGCTGTTTAATCTCAGTTATCAAGAGCACAGCTTCAGTAGCACATGTAGCCAAAACTAATACACAATCACAGTTTGCATCACTACATCATGGAACAAGATTTAATTAACCTAACAGTATTTCAGAGAGGACGGGTCTCTTTCTCTGAAAGCAACAGTAACCTTGCATCATATGCAACGGAGCAGCAAGGACAGCTAAATTAGAAAAGCTATTGACTCGGCGTGTGTGGCCTGAGAGGTCCATTAAAATGCAACACCACAGGCTACGAAAGGCCATGGTCAGCCAGACATGCTCTGCTAGTGCCAAAACAACTCCCCACCTCCACTTTTGCAACTGTCTCATCTGAGGGTCACGATTGTGTCATAGTGAGGAGATCCATAAAACCCTCATGGACTTTTTCAGTAAATGTTCTGAAATAAAGCTTTGATTTTGTTTTAAAATCACAGCACAGGCGTCAAAAAGGAAACTTTTGTTGACTTTGGTCATTTTTTTTAACCCACCGTCTACTTGTGTGCATGTTAAAGTCATGAGAAGTCATGTGGCATAAGACGTGAAGGACGTGGTACTAAATCCCCATGCATCATATTTGTTTTTCTCAACTAATGATGTCACTGCTTGGTCGACTACAAATAGCAACCGATCTGGCACACTATTGGGAATATGGAGGCTCCATTCATTCACAGCTCAGATGATGCCAACTAAATATACATGATGTATTACAGCGATTTTATATTGTACTGGAAACTGTATTCATTTCATAATTGCTTCTTTTATTCACAAATTACTTACATTTTCTTAGAGAGAAGGGAATCTTACAAGTATAATATGTAGTATCTAGTGAGACTGCACAAAAGCATCAAATGCACCTTTACAGAGAAGTAAGGCTCAAACTATCCAACAAAAAGTGAGCATTTGTGTGACACTTTTCTCTAAAGCACCCTGCAGTCACCAACCAGCACATACATTTTTAACACTGCTGACCCCCAGTGTGAGTCAAACCTCTAACTTCTGTGGTGTTAATGCGCTGACATTGATCATTAATACACACTAAGGTCACACTCTCCTCCCCTCGGCTGCAACTGTGCTCTTTGTCACTGGGCTTTTATCCGCTCACTATATATCACATCACTTATTACTGCAGGTTGGTACGTGGTGACAGACCGAGGCTTCCACAGGCTGCACAACCTGTGATTGTTTGTTTTGCATGTGTTCTCAATTAGAGCCAACAGCTGAGGCAGATGGAAACTAGTTACATAAAGCTGCTCTATTTTTTATTACACCAATCAATAACTATGGCCAATCAGTCAACATATAGCATCTAAGCCTTTGCAACACGTATATAATAGAAGCCTATATATAGTTTTGCAGACATTTGACATATTTGTTTTAAGGTCATATTTATCATTTTTACTGAAGGGGCAAGTATAGTATTATAAATTCAAATAAATTAAATAAGGACAGGGGCAATATAGATGTACATCCTGAAATCTCAAATGGCACAAGAAGAAGCGTCTAATAATAATAATAATAATAATAATAATAATAATAATAGGCTAATAATAATAATACTTTTCCTGAATTGGAATTAATTAAAAGGACATCAGTTTAAGCATTCTGCGTTGACACTAGCAGTTATGGTAGAGTAAGCTATATTTCCAACTCCACATCTCTCTCGTCAGTACAGATAAATCTTATCACACCTACCTGTTGGTCCTCGCGGCGCAAATCTGCCGTTTCCTTGTTGTAATAAGTCCCATATGCACTCCGCGTCCCTTTTCTTCTTCTTTTATTATGCTCACTTAGCTTCCCGTCTGGCGCTGCAAATTCTGCCATAACCCTCCCCAGCAATACTGAAGATGATGTTTGTCGTTGCAAAGACAGACTTTAAAAACACGTGTGCTCCTCCCCGCCCCTGCTGGCAGCGGTGGCCAATGGGAAGCAGCAGCGCCTGTTTGAGGGTCTGAGCCCGCATGGAGGGTTTACATTGTCTGTCTGTGATTGAGTGAGTGAGTGAGTGGATGACAAGGGGTGTCAAACCTTGTTATTTCTCACAGGGACGCTGAAAACATGGAGAAAAGCGTCAGTTTGAGCGCAAAGCATCTGCAGAGTTGCTGCAAAACTGCATTTGTGAAACTGGTCAAACTGTCAACCACAATTGGAGTTTAAACGTCACGAGACAATGTTTGTCCTTTTCTGTTTAACAATCAAATATAGTTTGTGGTGAGGAGTACTTTTATTTTGAAATCTGTGACTTTCCTAAATGAGAATCACTGCTGGAGTGATATTGAGTGCACTCAGTGAACACAAGGTGGCAGTGTGGAGCTGCAAACTGGATCAACACACCCAAGTGCTGCCAAAACATTGTGTGATTAGTATTATCACACGAGATGCACAGTCATCTTGATATTACAGATACTTGCTCAACAAATGTATCCAAATAATTTTTTTCTGGTTTTAGTTAATTAGGATCCCCCACCAGCGAGCACACTGATGTCAGCTAGTCCTTCTGGGACTTGATGCAGTCTAACAAGCAGTCATGTAGGCAGGCTACATTATATCCTCCTGAGACCAGAACTTTTGTTTGCATTTTTTATTTCTCCTCACTATTTGGGATCAATAGGACGCAATAAGTAAAAAAAAAACCTTAACATTGTCTATGATAATTAAGTCCCAATGTCCTCAAACGAGTACTTCTTAGTTAACAGTGTCTTAGCTTGTTACTGTTGCTAAAATTGGTCAAATTTGTTGCCGTATCAAACTACAAACATTATTAATCATAAATAAAAAAGTTTCAACCATACAATGTGATCAGGTTTTGGACCTTGTCCACTTTTGTGTCGGGATCAGCTGCAGACTGACTTGGCAGAGATGGCTGCCATCTTGTTTTTACATGGATTAGTGTATTGTGCAAATTATCCTTCACGAATCGAAACCTTGTCACAACTTTTACTTTGTCTACATAGTCAAGTTTGATTGTCTTCTTTGCGCTCTGCCAGGGCCACTAGATGGGACAAAAAAGTGTCCATGGACAAGGACAACGGGTGTAAGTTAAGTAGAATGAAGTATAAGGTCAAGTAAACCCAAAATGTGATGTCCTTATATGAGGATGCAGGGTCTCAGGAGGACATACATTTAGACATACCAAAAACAAGAAAAAAAATCCCTTTTGAAATGTTAGACACTGTAAACAAAAATCACCAAGAAAAATTAATAATTTACATAATTTCATTTAATTTACTGTTCCATCATACAGTTTATCTCATTAAAAAGCTAATTATTTCTTGAAAACAGCTCTAATATATTTTTTTAATAAATACAAAATACTGGTATTAGAAAATGTATTTAATTAAAATAATTTGTTATTGAAAAATACAAAAACACAATATTTACAAACTGGTATTATCACATTTTAGGCATTTAGTAGCCTCAGTATTGCTCTGACCTCAAAGGTTCAATGTGTTAGATTTTGAACATTAATATAGCACCAGCTATTTGCTATGTAAAGATGTGGTCGAGTAATGGCGTCCTGAGCAGAGAATGAAGTCACACTCCCGCTGTGTTTGCTGTTATCAGAGCTTCTCTGTTCTTTGTTGAGGTAGCCAGGCCAGCCGCACGTGCTTGTGAGCTCCTGTGACTCCCTGAGTGTGTATCCTACTGGCCAGCTAATCGCCATTGCTCTGCACTGCGCTCATATGGCAGTTAAGGATAATAATGCCATTCTGACCAATGGTGGCAGGACGGTGTTGTTGCGAAAGCATAACACCCACCTTCTACTCCATGTTAACACTGTTAGCTCTGTCAGCACTGTTGCTGTTGTTAGCACTGTGAGCAGTGTTAGCCAAAGACGATTCCAGCCCAGACTCTGAATGTCGTAGGCTATATGGCACCTTTACCACCCTGCATTGATGAGCTCTGACATTTTCCCACATCATCGATTTGAGGTGGCCAATCAGGATATATTGGGAGTGTAAGCCTGTGAATTCGGGAGTGCATGCTGGGTGGTTTCTGTCAGTCAAAGCGACCCCTTACTGACTGAGTAAACAGCCAACTGAAACACAAAGTAAAGTGGACAAAGTAACGTACGATGTCCTTTAGATGACAACAAGACTGAGCCTTTTTCAAGAGCGATAAATATAAGAGCAGTGGAGTGAGGACATTTCTAAGATCAACTTTACAAGCAACTTACTGGTGCACAAAACACTAAACGACCATTACAGCAGAGTATGATACAGTACATAATAGTAGAGAAGAAATGAGAGAACCCCCCTCTCACCGATACCAACAACAACAACCTAAAAATAAAGTACTCTCCTTTGTGTACCCTCCAACCCTACAGTCCAGGGAACACAAATATAATAGGGTAGTTCACAGTGAGCATATTGCTGTGATGGGATTCACTTGCATAAAGCCAAAGACTGTGGGCTATAGGGTAATTGTTGTACCTGGGGATACAAAAGTGGTCTTATTTGAGAATAAAATGATATATTAACTAATATATTTTAAGTATTTTGAGTGTAAGAGTACAAGATTTGAAGGATTTTTTTTACAAATTGCATCTTGTTTTTTTCTGTCCAGCAAAATAAAATAATAAAATACCTGCAAGTATGATTATAACAGCAAACACGTTTTAGAGTTTTACAAAAACAGCTTTTGTTTGACTTACATTTATGGATTTTATTCATCTTACACAACGGCATGGTGGTGTAGTGGTTAGCATTGTCGCCACACAGCAAGAGGGGCCCTGGCTCGAACCTGGGATGGGGGAGCTATTCTGTGCGGAGTTTGCATGTTCTCCCTGTGTCAGTGTGGGTTTTCTTGGGGTACTCCGGCTTACTCCCACCGTCCATGCAGGTTAACTTGTGACTCTAACTTGCCCAAAGGTGTGAATGTGAGTGTGAATGGTTGTCTGTCTCTGTGTGTCAGACCTGTGATAGTCTGGTGACCTGTCCAGGGTGTACCCTGCCTCTCGCCTAGTGTCACCTGGGATAGGCTCCAGCCCCCCCACAACCCCCAACAGGATAAGTGGTTACAGAAATAGAAATAAAATTCATCTAACACATAAAAAACAGGCTGTAAACACAAAAGTTACACATAAATATATTTACAAGAGCACATCTTATCACATTGTCCATCACATGCCCGCTTTACAAACAGGTCTGCTGCATCACCTCTTCAATGATGTCAGGATTCACATTGCAAGCATGTCCGTTGCTCATGGTTGATGCAATGAGAGGACCACTGGTCTCACCCCCCTCTGTCGGATGTTCCCTCCTGTCAAACTCCTCCGCACTGAGCAGTGGCACAGGCACCCAGGTGGTCACATTGAACAAAGCGTAATCCACCTTGTAGTGCCTCTTGCCCAGTTTCAACATGTCCTGGAAGCGCTGTCCCCAGCGGATGTCTGCTGGTGTGTAGGAGGTTCGTGTCTGGTGGAGCATACCCGTCGAGTCACCGGTGTAGGTGAAAGACACCACCAGTTCAAAGTCGTCCCCCAGCAGGTTGTCAGGGCCCAGGCTGTAGAGAGGACTGCCAGGCTCCAGTTTATGGATGATGGTGGTCGGTGTGGCGAGGACAATGTCTCGATTCTGGATGTGCAGTTCCTCGTATGACATCACAACAGTCCCAGCTGGCTGTTTCACATGGCGGACTACCATGGCTCTGGCAACACCCTCCAAGATGTGATTACCCCTGAAGTCCCCAACTCGCCACGACAGACACACAACCCCGTCTCGTAGGTTGACCACTGCACAGCTACTGAAACCAACCGTCTGAGCTCTCTTACGAGCTGAAGCCATTTTGGCAATAACAATACCGATGACGATGGTGTCAATGAGGCAGCTAAATACATCTTGAACTGTCACCACAATTATTGCCACGATACAGTTCTCGGTCATGCCCCTGAAGCCATAGCCAATAGTCGCCTGGGTCTCCATTGAGAACAGAAAGGCCGCAGTGAAGCCACGCACGTTCTCCACGCAGGGTGCGCTATCTACATCGTCAGTGTCCCCATGTACATACGCTATGAGCCAATAGCAGAGACCAAAAAACATCCAAGAGAGAATGTAAGAGAGGGAAAAGACAAGGAACATCACCCTCCAGCGGATCTCCACAAGAGTGGTGAAGATGTCCACCAGGAACGGGCTCCAGTGTCCGGGGGCCTTCTGGAAAACCACTGGGAACCTTCCATCCTTCTGCATAAAGCGCAGCTGCTTGTCCTCATTTTGCATGCCCAGTGTATGGATTGTAGTGTTGTAGGTATCAATGACGATCTGCTCGTCCCTTTCCGTGCCCATTATGACCACAGTTACCTTTCAGTCGCCTGTAGGAATACAGAGATGGAAATGCATGTTAGGATGACAGTCATTTAACCACAGGCAGGAGGGACGGCGATTTACTCATTACATATGACTGAAATGTAAAAGGCTCTCAGACTTGTTTGTTGAGCCGAACTCTTCATGTTTGAGCAAGCAGCTTCGGTCACCTCATGCCTTGGGCTATCAGCAGCAAATGACTTGAGCTCTGGGTGTGAAAAATGTACTTCAAGAGCACAACTTTCTTACTGGTTGATTATTTACTAAGTTCCATTATAGTCTGGAAACTTTCCAAATCAGCTAAAGGCTCTCTGTAAACACTTTGTGTTAAAACCAAATGTAATCATGCAGAGGATTCTGTTCATTCAGCTTGTTGTGTGTGACAAATAGAAGAGGTAGCGATTTAATTTGTTATTGCTTATTTCTTTTTTTAGTCTATTTTTTTTCTCAATATGTATCTCTTCTGGGACTTTGATGCATTGTAGGTCAGTTGTTTTTCAGATTTGTCAGTGCACCATGTGTTTGTGAGCACTGATCAGCATGTGGAATTATACAATATACGTCAGAATTTTTATAGTCCATAGTGTTTCCTTTTGTTGACAGCCAGAAGTGAATTCATGTCCCTGAGAAGAGCACCAGCTAGCAAGAAGCACTATAATCTTTTTGACCTGTTGAAGCTAAATAGGTGGCATTTGATATATTTCACACTCTGTAACTGTTATTTGTTTTTTACTTTTAGCAATGTCTGTTACTTTGCCAACTAAATTTTTTTTTGGATTTCCCTGTTTAGTTACTTTCATCTGTTATGTTGGTCAACCCGGTCTCACACCGAAGTCATCAAAATTCGGTGCTTGGGCAGTGACTTGCAGCGTCAGACACTGACAAAAACAGCCATCCTTTAACGTTAGCATGATATGCAGCCAGTCGCTGATATTATTTTAATGGCACTCGGCGGCATCAGGGGGAAACGCGGATGGACAAGAACGTAAGTTAAGGTGATGAAAGTCTGAATTGGGTGGGAAGGGTGGTGGATGGGTCCAACAAACACCAACTTTAACCCAGGAGAGTGGTGTTCATGGTTTTCCCCAAACCCAAGCATGTGCTTCTGTTGCCTAAACCCAACCATGTGCGTTAGTTCTTGGAAGAAAAAAAATACTGGAATTTGCGTAGTTGTACCAAAGAGCATGGATACCAAGAGGCGAAGCTCTGTTGAATTTTTGCAAACAGCCACTAGGGGCGCTGCGGAACCGCTGCCGCCATTTTGGACTGTTGAGCTTGAACTGTTGCACCCAGACAACATTCAAGATGTCAAGGAGAGAGGAGAAAAAAAGTAAAAGAAAACAGCGTAGTGCAATTAACTGCATCAACTATCAGTGGAACACCCCGCACCTGGCCTTCCACCGTTTCCCGAAGGATCCCGACAGGTAAGAACTCCTGAGGTGTAAGTTTTAAAGTGTTTTAATATCAATTTCATATGCCAGTTTTGGAGGGAAGATAACACTCCTGACTATGTGACGTCGCCATTAATGTGTTTCTAGTTAAAATATTGAATTTTTTTATTTTTTATTTTTTGGTAGATTGGCTTATAGGGTGATTTTGAAGGAGTAATTAAGTTAATCTTCTCATAAGTGGATGTAATATGTAGAGATGCCATCTAGGCCATTTTTTTAAAGTCTATATTTTGCTTTACAAAAACGTGAAAAAGCAGCTGTGACCAAGCTATCACAAGGTGAGTAGCATTGTAAGCATAATTAATAGCGATATACTTCAGTTTATCTGTGTGTTTTTGTATGCAAGCGGGTCTGCTGCGGTCTGCTGACAGTCCAAAATGGCGGCGGTAGGACGAAACCATGGGCGAGTCTGTTGCTATGGGGCGTTCTATTGAGCTTCGCCTCTTGGTATCCATGCTCTTTGGTTGTACTGACGTAGTGCGTTTATTTTGAAAGAGAATGTATGTAAACGGTAAATTTCCTGTGAAAACGGGAAGTGCATTCTGAAAGAAGACAATGCATGTAACAGGTAGAATTTGACACAGTGTCCCAGAACGTCAACAACCAACACAGCCAGGGTACCTTTCACGTCATATCTGGACATAGAAAGTCCATGATATTAACAATATTAATAATAGGATCCATATTTAAGTTTATTTCTCATCACATAATTAACTGATTTTCCATATTTGTCTTTGTTATATGTGCACCCTCAAAAGGTGGCGAAGGCGCTGTCCTTTAAGTTGGCGTGCATGGTGCATAGCAGAAAGAAGGCTGCGAGTCTGACACACACTGCACCTGCACTCTCCCTGTGGTGCGAACAAAGGAAACTGGAATAGGGTTTCAGGGGAAATCCCAATCTTTGAGCCATATTTAGCGACCTGCAGTCCCTGGGCGAGAACAAACAGAATAATTACATTTATTGCAACATCATTAGTAACACTGGCAGTTACATAAACAAAACTACAAGCGCACTTCAATATCTAATACAGCTGAATGTTAAACTGTGACTTAACTCTAGGTATTCTATATGTTAAACTGAATCGTTTTAATGCTAATTTTATTAACTGGACCCATTAAACTTAAAGGGGCCTCTCTGCCCTTCACTGCTCATGTTCCCTTTGGTATGTTGGTTTCCGTCAAGGCTATAGGTGACACATAATTGAAGGTCATTAGGACACTGATGACATAATATGTGAAAGAAAAAAAATGTGTGTATGTTTACCATGAATTTTCTCATACAGATAGATACATAGATAGATAGATAGATAGATAGATAGATAGATACGATTAATGAAGGCTTTGGGTCAGGGAAATCTAACCCTCCATGCAGCGAGGAACCTCTTTTTAATCAGTTTGGCTTATCTCTTTAGTTAGTTGGCAAAGTCTGTTGCCTTCCAGATGTGACCCAGGACAATGGCAAGCAGGGGTCACACAGCAGGCATTTGACAGTAGTCCTAAACTGAGTTAGTCAGAGAAATAAAAACAAAAGAATGTATAGCACTCTGTGTCAGTGTTTATAAAAGTTCTTTATGGTTTTGCCCCAAGTGGCTGTAAGTCAAACATGTATAGACAAAATAAGATACAAGCACAGTGTATGTATATATGTCGTTACTCCACAAGCCCTCCGAAAGTATGTCTCGGTTAATTAAGCAAAACCTTGACCTCTATTGTTGTTCTCATGAGGGTAAATTATTATCCTCTAACCACCTCTAACAGCTTTCACCTACAAATGTTTTCTCAGATGTAAAACTTTAACCGCACACCTTCTTTTCAGTCACACTTAAAATACAACACAGTCAGGACACTGTTATCACTTCCCTGTACTGTACTTCTCTGTAGTCTGACAGCTGTTTGAGGTAACACTGATGAAAGGCACGTTATCACTTTAGCTTACTCACTGATCAATATGTTTTTTAGAGCCACGTCCTTCCTTGCAAGAAGTCTGTTAAACTTTTATCTATTATTTATTGCTTAATTATGTCACCTGAGAACACGTAGGTGGTGTTTATCTCAGTTTATGATACATGGCCGCTTAGGGGTTGCAATAGTGCCAAGTGCAGTCTTAGCAAAATATTTAGAGACTGACAAAGTCACAGATTGTGGAAACATGAGCTGTCATGCACAGAACTTTTAGGAGCAAAACTGCTTGTACACAAGTTTTGTGTTTCAATAAAATCTCAAAAGATCCATAAATCAAATAAAACAAAAATGATGAGACCAAAAAAGCTCTCAAAATTGAAACATGCGTAAAATTACTGATTTATTTTGCATTGCCGAAAAGGCCACAACAATGTTGCAGCAGGTGGGGATGGAGTTTAATAAATGAGTTGAGGAAAATGCACTGAAAAAATAGCAGGTGACCAATTCAGCATGCCATAAGTGAGTGAATCCTTGGCTCATAAGCTGCGGTGTCACAGGTCTCAGACTGCTGATTTCTACACAGCAATCGCTGAGTTCATGAGACAGAAAGAAACAGGTTACAGGACAATCAGGTCAAAGAAAAGGGTCAGTGGGGCCCACCTGCCCACCCCACTTTATGATATAGTTACAAAACGAGCACAGAATATTACTAAGACTAGCCTGCGTTACTACAGTTTGATGGTTCTAATATTTTCATGTCTATATCAACTCAACCTGTGTATAGTCTATGTGTAACCTTTTATTTGTCTTTTTGAATCCTTCTGTATGACACTCTGAGCTCCTGAAACTGCAGTCTGTGCTATATGAGAGCACAGTGGACTGATAAACTCGAGTCTGAATGCTGACGTTAATGTCATGATTCCTACAGAATTACCAGATCATGGCTACAGGAATTAATTGTGTTATATTTTGTTATTTGAGTTTAAATTATGTCACAAAGAAAAAGAAAAAAGGAAATAAAGAAAAATGTTCCCATGCCATGATATCTTGTATGATGTTTCTTCATTTCATTAATTGCTGTTGTATTTGTTTGTCAACAAATTAATTTTATGACGTCTAATTATTCTTTTATTTTTATTAATTTATTTAACAGGGACAGTGCACAGCTACTTAGCTGCACCAGAGTTAGCTATAAGCTGATTTTAATCTGTAGTCCCTGGGCAGGAAACAGAGAATAATTTCTCTGCTAAAAGACACTATTATATAAAAAAAAAAAACACAGTTGCAAATGAGAACATGACACAACAGTTTTAGCAACAACAACAGCAAGACAACACAACAACAATAAAATTACAACATGAAGATATAACAAGATTTCATTGTGTTGGATCAAGTGTTTGATAGCCATGATATCATCTTAGATTTACAACTTGTAGTTAATTATTTCCCTATTTGCTGGCTTGACCCTGCTAATATCTCATAGTAATATCCTTTAGATTTAGATTTAGATTAGACTGGAAGTGTTTGTTGAAACACAAGTCTGATTATTTTCCCCTCTCAGCACAGAAAATTGAAAACTCTATGTCAGAATTCTTGTTGAAGTCTTTTAAAAAGCATGTATTTTAATATTCCACTTACTTTCAGAGTAGAAGTTAGGTCAGGTGTCACAGAAGCCCATCAGTTCTGCCAAGCATTAAACGATGTGTTGCCACAGTGGAAGTCACCTCTGAGTTTGTTGGCCGCAGAGTGTCAGGGGCCGGCCTGGTCCTGAGGCAAAGTCCCATTTTCTTCTGATATCACAACACGTCCCTCTGAAACCTCATTGGACAATCTGGAGGAATTTATGACCTATGGATTATTTCCGAGGTTCCTTCGGACAAGTACATCCAGTGTCTTCTGACTGTTTGCTTCTGGATGACGAAACAGAAATTGCATAATCTTCCACAAAATGATAATGGCAGAGGAATATTGATGGTTTGTAGGGTTATTTTTGCAGGTATGTACATTTGAGTTATTTCCGTCCGGATTTCCATGATTCATTAGACAGAAAGTTAACCTTTGCTCCATCAGGTGGAGACGCTGCCATTGGCACAAGGATTTGCTTTGTCTCAGTTGTCTGCAATTAGATTCTGATAAGAGAGATCACAGCTGAGCCGCCAGAACACACTTAACTTTGAAACCACATTTATTGCAGCCATAAGAGCATCTAAAGCTGTTTCATTGAGGTCAGCAACACCAAAACAACCCTGTAGTGTTTTTAAAAATAGAACATGACCTCCCCTCCCCCCCCCCCTTCCCACCTGATTCATCACGTATTGGATGTTTCAGATGATGTGTGAAGACAGAGATAAGAGACATTCCTCCCCAGATAACCTGCAAAGATCAGTTCATCAGTCGTCATTTACAGGCATCAGATGAGTGTGAACAAAGGGAAAGAAAATGGTATTACTTCCTTTACTGCAGTACATGATAATGCCATAAACTGTAAAAGTACAGGAAGGTTGATTAATTATTTATCTGTTTATGTGTCCTGCACCGTGTGCCACCTTACAAGACACTAAAGCAACATCTAACATCTCAGGAGACTCATTTATATAACAGAAATGTGAAGCTTAATTTACTGAAAATATATTTCGCAGAAATCTTAACCAGATTAATGACTAACTACATATTAGATATATTAGTAAATTAGTAGCACTATAAATAAAACAAGCGCTACAACATTTGCCATGAAAATTAAACAGAAAACGTCTGTCAGCAGAAAAATTATGTTCTTATGCTATTAAGTAGTGGACATGTGGAAACTTTACATGGTGGTAATATGTGGTAAGGTTTAGGCACAAACACCACTTGGTCGTGGTTAGGAAAGATCATGTTTTGGCTTAAAATACCCAGGTTAAGTGGCACAATGCCTGCTGGAAAGTAGCAATGTCTTGGTAAAAAATCAATCACTTTTCATACTACTATCCTGGCAGGAAATGCAGAGATGTCTCAGTAAAAAGCAACCACTTTATCTTGCTACAAAACACCACATGTGGTGCCAAAAAAGCCACTGGAAAGACAGAATTGACTCGCTAAATCACATCTGGTTTTGTTGTTTGTCGGTTTTGAAGAAAAGGTGACATGTCACCCGCCATCCTCTTGACCTCCTGGTGACAAAAAATATGTCTAAAAAATGAAAATGTAATGTTGCAGAAACATAGCCTACAACATTTTCTTCTGGCAACGGGGCTGCAGCGGGACAGGGCAGCTTAGTTTTATTCAGAATGGGCTTCAGATGGATAAAGATATGAGCCAAGAATGCAGATATGAGATTTAAACCTGGTGTCAGATTAAGAGGAGATGTTATATTGTAGTATTTCCTTCATAAAACCTAAAGCAGATACCAAAAGAACCATGCATCTGTATTTCCTAGAGTATACAAGGTGCCAGAGGTGCCAGAGGAGAAGGAGGTCGAGCCTGCAGTGTGGAGAGCCTTTGAAACAGTGAAGGCTGTTGTTTGTCTGACATATTTTAGGGCAGAAGGTGATAACCTCAGAGGTGACTGATAATGATCAGGTCAATCAGGTATGACACAAATGTGACGTTCAAGATAAAGCACCTGTTTCCCAGTGGTCCAATAATCCAGGAAAAAGCAGACAGCTGAAAAATTTAGTTTTACAGAGTATAAAGGGTTTGATATCATTGTCAAAATGCCTTTTTCATAAAGCACTTCACTTGACTGGAGACACGCTAATAGCTGGCAACCTGTTGGAAATTTGTTTTAATCTCCTGGAGATTGTTTTCACTTTTGCAAACTTATAATGAATTCATTTTTGTCTTTGATTAGCGCTTTTAAAATTGTCCTTACCCTACATGCCTAGAGACCATCTTGCTGGGTGTTGCTGTGATCTTGGGATCACCCCAGGATGCGTCCAAGATGCAGCAGTCCGTGAACAAAACAAATTTGGGCCAGGGGCATAAAGTAGGGGTGGGGACGAAATACCTGCCAAGGTACTAAAATCTACTACGATAGGTGTCACATTTTGCCGTGATCACACACACACACACACAGACCAGCTGTCTCTACGTTTTCATGGCACATAATGACACAGGCACCCATTAAACCACTCAAGATATCACCACAGAACGTGTCAAAATTGTAAATAATATTATTCGACTGATTATATGCAAAAATAACTCAATTTTGTGCCTTTTTCATTGAACATCTATGTATGCCTGTAAATCACTGAAAATATTGATAATCCATTATAAAATATTGATCATTTGATATGTACTTTTACATTTTTAAGGGTCCCACAGACACTAAAAGCCCCATAGAGTCATATTATAAAATCATCCAGCTGTCAAAACAAAGACACGCCGTCCCCGGAACACACTGAAACCACAGTCTTTGTCCTGTATCCACGACTAAGGGACTTTCAGGGTAAACCATGTCTCTGTTATTCAGTGTACTCTTTTGTCCAGCAGTCACAGGTCCATTGTAATGCAAAGTAGCATGACCTGGTATAACAACAAATAGAAGCTGGAGATTGCAGGTAAACAGACAGTATGAGTAATTGCATTTGTGTTCTGACTGTTTGCACAAGATCACTGAGGGATGCACTGAACGCTCACTGTAATTAATCACGAGATGGTGTTTTCTTGCAGACCATTGTGGGTCGCTCATATTGTCTTGTTGTGTTGTGAGTACGCGGGTAAACGTCACAGACAGGCCTATTTAAGTGCGAGGAGGAACGTAAAGGGATGACACACAGCTGTCAGTCAATGAGTCGTTTGTGAATTAAATTGTTAGACATGGTGAGATTTTCTACCCACAGCCTGTGGAAGGCAGTCCTCTTCCTGGGTTTACTAATTGTAGGTAAGTGTAAGCTCACAGCTCACAAAACGTTGTTTTAGGGAGAAGTAGAGTGGGAGGAGTATTTCTGAATATATCTTAATAATTGTCTCTAATTTCAGGATGCCCACATGCTGAATCCACATGCAAATCACGCAGATGTCTGGCTGAAATTTTGGTCAACAAAAAGTTTACATCTCAGCCTCAGTATGAAAACTGCAGCCAAATGATTATGGTGCCATTTATTGAGTACCAGACTCTGTCAGTTGTAAGTATCATCTTATACATTTTAAAGTGGAGCTAACTGAAAATTCTTTTTTTGTTTCTCTTTTTAGACCGCTCATAGCTTGAGGAGAGCTCATTACTTTAATTATAATTACAGTTGGTGTTATTATTCCCAAGCTTTGTTAACATAAACCTGCTAAATATGTGTTGAGATCAGGTAAAAAAAAAGTAAAGGATGTCCTTTAACTGAGCAAGGATACAGATTAGTTTCCACCAGCACTCCAATGGTGTTGACACTGCCTAACCACTTTTTTTTTTTTTAATCAGGACACTAAGAATCTCCGCTTAAATAGTCGTCTGCAAGCCTCACTTGTAAGTTTCAAAATACGTACAAATGAACAAAAATAAAACAAAGAGTATGCTTCACTGATTTTGATTTGAAACCACAGAAATGGGAAGATCCTGAGTTGGCATGGGACACATCAGTTTATCCATATGATCAAGTGGTCCTGCCCGTAAGCAAAGTCTGGACCCCAGAGCTCCGTGTAACAAATGGGTAAGTTACGTAATTTTTAGTAACTTACACAATTCTTACAAATTCAACGCACAATCTCCTCGATATCGCTTTGTTGTCTCTCACCTGTGTAGAATAACAACAACTATGAGGCACAGCTCGCATGATCTGCTGGTGATGAGTAATGGCACAGTGAAGCACAATGTGATCATCACTGCCGAGGTGAACTGCGAGGTCAATCTTTTCAACTATCCCTTTGCTTGGGACGCATGCCCTGTTGCTATCCAGACTTGGTCAGATGATGGTGAGTTTCGGAGCAAACTGGATGTTATCATTGTACATATCAGTGTTAATCCTGAAGATTTTGACTTATCTTCTTCATGGTGTGATCATGTTTTTCTTTTATGCTTTTAAAAATGTGTCCTACTGTGTGAAATAACCATAAATGTATATTTTTTAAAAATACAAGTTGTTTGTAATCGTCCTGCCAAATTGTTTCGTGCAGCTTTTTTGTGGCAAACCCTCACTTCACCACATTGAATTCAGAATGCCACCAGTTTTACGCATAAAACATCTGTTTACAGTTAAGAGGAACGCAGAACCTTTATTAGCCAAAGGCTTTGATGTCAATTAGAGAGAGATGTATAGGGATATAGCCCTATAGAAGTCTTAGATGGGGCCTTGCAGCCCACACGCTGGGGTAAAGTGTTGGCATTGTACGTTTCTGAAAACCACGGATGTTACATTTGTATGTTTCATACATATGACACAGTTTATTACATTTATATGAGTTATATTAGGTAGGCGGGGGGGTGATGGATGGTGTAACATCTAGGCGACACCACTGTTTAAGTCCAAATTAAACCAGTCAGCTCTCACAAAAACAAACAAACAAAAAAACCCACATAGGTCAATTGTGCAAGCAGGTTATTACAACCAGGCCCCTCCAGGAAGTGCGCTAAGCTTTGAGGTCAGTTTTCATAGTGGCCAAACAGTGGAGTTACAACTCCAAAGCCTGTCATGTGATGTAATTGACCGATGGCTAAGTCCCGCCCTCAAACGCGATGAGCCAATCACAGTGCGTATAGCCATTCCCATACACCTGGACATTCTCTGCCTGGACGTTCATTGAAATGCATTACAGAAAGTCAGTTTTGTTCGGTTTTATGAGCTTTTTTGGAGATTTGAAGTTTAAAAATGGTCAAACGGTGTGCATGGGGTACATGCAACTCCGAAACAAGGTATCCTGAGAGGCTAGGCGATGAGGTGTATTTTTTACACTTTAAACCACATCTCAACCAAGAAAAGTGTCTCCTTTGGATAAAGTTGTGCGGTGACGTTAGACCACAACATCAACTCAACGTGAATAAGATTAACAAGGATGTTTACATCTGTTTTAAGGTAAGTCAACATCGTGTTCGAGGCAACATATTGCCACTTTGCTGGAAAGAAATATAAAGTTATCTTTAACATCTCTAGCTAACGTTAGCTAAAGTTAGCCTAACGTTAGCTCCTAGCTGCATTGTTCATCATGTCACCTTGTTTGCTGGGAGTTCATTAGCCTGTTCTAGTTTTGTACTTTGGTGATCGTACATCATTGTTAGCTGTTGTCCAAAGGGCTCTAGTTAAGCTAACGTTAACTTCTGGAGCTTAGCTTCATTATTTTATCTGTAATCGCAGAGATAACAAAAGTTGGCAAACATTATGCCGAATGATATGAAATACTGTAGCACCAAACTAACGGAGAGACACTCTAGGTAAAGGTGGTAAAAGGCCGTTATCCTTTTCTCATATTCTGAGCCAAAAACCTTAACTTCAGTGGCACTTTAACTTCTTGTCTTTGATGGCGACGGCAACGAGATGCTGTTCACAAGCGTACACTGTGACCTGTAAAATTTGGTTTGTAATTTAAGCTTTTCATCGACCTTCTCAACAATAAAATGATGAATATAGCCTATCCCTCCAATGTGTAGTTTAGGCCCTTTTGATTACTTCTCAATGACATCTGATCGTTATGTCCCCAAAAATCATCAATTGCCTCCTGCGAAATGCCGTGTACTATGACACCTGCCATAGCACCGGTCACTGAATGTTGATAGTTTGTCCTAGTGAGTGGATGGGGGCATGGCTTAGTCATAGGTCAATTGGGCCCAAAAAGACCTTTCCCCATTGACATACATTTGGAAAAAGATGATAAGATATTGTTAGTGGATATATTTTTTGAGCTTCACTTCCCATGCAAAATTATATGTTTCATTATCAGGATTTGATCCATGTGGTCTGATAACCTTTGAAAAGTCTAGCAGAGCTGCAAGATTAAATATTTATATCCCCATTCAAGTTATTCATTCATTTTCTGTAACCGCTTGTCCTGTTAGGGGTCGCGGAGGGGCTGAAGCCTATCCCAGACATTGGGCAAGAGGTGGGGGTACACCCTGGACAGGACACCAGACTATCACAGGGCTGACACATAGAGACAGACAACCATTCACACTCACATTCACACCTATGGGCAATTTAGAGTCACCAATTAAGCATGTCTTCAGGGGACTGTGGGTGGAAGTCGGAATACCTGGAGAAAACCCACACTGACATGGGGGGAACATGCAGTCTCCTCACAGAGGGGCTCCCCCACCCTGGGATTCGAACCCCCCACATTGGTTTCAAACCAGAAACCCTCTTGCTGTGAGGCGACAATGCTAACCACTATACCATCCCATTCAAGTTAGCAGAGTGCTAAACCAGAGGTAGCCAGTTCACTGCCAGAAGTCTCTAGTGTGCTGGTTCTATGGGCCCTGTGATGCAAAAGCCAATCATCTGGGTAATTTCGGACCACTGAAATTGAGCTTTTTCAGCTACATGCACCACTGATCAACTTTCATTGGAATGAACAGGGTCCCGCCTCCAATGCTGTATCCAGGTCTCTTGATACATCCATGATTACGACCGATGGATACGTTTATTGTAAGGCAGTGTCCTCTAGTGGCCATAGTAATTATTACAGGAGCAGAGAAGGAAGTGACGTGTTAATCTCCCGGTGACAGCTCACTAACTCTGACCGTAGTTGGGAACAGGCTAGCTTATTAACATTACCTTGGCTCATTAGTAGCTGGTAACAAGCTTCTAGTGGTCCATACCACTCTGCAGGAGGAAGGATGGCAAGGCGTTCAGTCAACAACGAACATGGCCTCCTTGTGAGGTCGAACAGTAGCCCCGAGCTTATCTAGACACTTCATTCTGCTGACTATCATCACTTCTTGCCACCATGACAACCTGAGAGAGCTGCTTCCCCCCATACACACTGAAGTACATGTTACAATCTCACAGGTTACCCACAAGCCCACCGACCTTAAAGGGGAAAAGGGTGAGCCGGTAACAGACATGATGAAGCATAACAAGTAACAAAGTCCATGCCATGTTGTACGAATACCAAAGAAGACCCCTGTAGGGTGTGTGGGTGGGTCAAACAACCGTAGGACTTTCACCCAGGAGATTGATGTCCGCGTTGGGAAGTCAACATTGACTTCTTTTACTAAAAACATAGCCTAGTATTAGGGCCGTAACAGTACATGTATTTGTGTCGAACCGTTCGGTACGCGACTTCGGCACGACCCTGTACCGAATTATTGGGCACAGGATATTATTTTATTTTATTTAATTTTGTTTTATTTTAATTCCGTTTTTGCGAGCCGAACCATTTAAAATATCTACTTCCCCGACGGACATAATTGAGTGACAGACCGAGTCCGACCGTAAATCTCCGCTTTCACTTTGTGCAGCGCATTCTCGCATTTTGACAACCTGAAGACCCACCCGCAAACCTTAAGTCCTCCATTTGGGAACACTTTGGTTTCAGGGTAAAATACGAAGATGGAGATAAAGTGTGCCGACACTGCAGAACAGTGGTCGGGTATGTACTTGGAAACACGCCTAACATGCTAATGCATCTAAAGCGACACCACCCGAGTTTGAACGTTAACCGGCACGACTAGAAAAAGCAATCTGGTGCAAACTACGATATCGTCGTCATTTGAAAAGAAAGAGCGTTTCCCTGACCATCGCGCTAAAGAAATAACCAATGCCATTGGAGTTGAGTAAAATTGTTTAAGCTGCACTTTAGATATTGAAGCATGTTTTGTTTACTGCACTTTAACAAAGTGGGAAAGCTAAGTAAGTTCCTAGTAAAACTGAATCTGAGCAGGCTTTAAAGCTGACCAGCTGCACCTTACTTTTTATTTTAATTGAGTAAAATTGTTTAAGCAGAAATTTATATTTATATTTTTCATTCAAAAAATGTGTTAAAAAACAGCAGGATTTTATTTTTCACTTTTATATTACTATTTTCATTCAAACAATGTGAAAAAGCAGGATTTTATATATATTTGTTTCATTCAAAAATTGTGTAAAAAGAGTTAACTGCTGTGGTGGTATGTTTTAATAAGGTTACCAATAAGTAAAAGATATTTAATAGTTGTCTATTTTTTTCATTACTGTACCAAAAAAAAACGAACCGTGACTTGTGTACCGAGGTACGTACCGAACCGTGATTTTTGTGTACCGTTACACCCCTACCTAGTATGCTTGTGTGTAGCATGCTACTAGTGACGTCTATGATGTGACGTATGTGACATATGTCGTGAGGAATCGTATGTGATATAATTCACATTACACTGGTGACAAAAGTACTTACGATGTCTTTCCTAAACCTAACCACAATGTTTTGGAGTAAAACTGTTTATTGGCGTTAGGGACATGTTTAAAACTGCTACCATAAGAATGGTAATGGTAATGTAAAGATTCAACATACCCGCTACATATGAAACACATGTAATACATCAATGGTTTGCAGAAATGTACAATGACAGCATTTAGTCTGGTATTTTGGGTTCGGCCTTGACATCAGTTGGAGACTGCGGTGAGAGCAGAGAGAGACAAAAGAGGTAAGGTGGTTAAAATATTCTTAAGTTATGGTTATTCCTAGACAGGGAGCTGCCCAAAGCCTGATTAACTGCTTTAGGCGAATGACTAAAAGTTTGAAAATGAAAAAAATCTGTGAGTGTGGGGTTGGAAAGGAGTTTACAAGATCTCTGCAGCCTTTCAGCACCTCAATGTCCAACGAACTGTTGGAGGGTGAGCTGTGCATTGTGTAAAGGTCTGTTAAATTTCTTCAATGGTTACCCTTCAGTGTTTTAAAGAAGGCTTCATTTTATTCAGGATGTGGCACACGTTTGGAATTTGATCAATTGAAAATGGTCGATGGGACCCATGGAGATTGGCAGACTGACGATGTGTTCCTTGCCAGACAGACGGATGAACGCAATTACATCCTGGTAAGATCACAAATGTGTGAAATAGTAATTTATAATCTACTTAATACAGGCCTTTATTATGAATGGCTGGAGCCTGTCACAGCTAACATTTTCAGGAAGTAAACCAAAAAGCTAGAAACTTGTTTTGGTGTATGCGCTAGGTGAGCAATTCCATTTGACTGAATAGTTGCCATTTTGGGATCTGGTTTCTTTGGACCAGATTGGGATAAACAGCTCATTCTAAGGTAATGACAACACAATGATTGTTATTTTTATGTGATTATAAACATATTATATTATATTCTCCTCAGGTGCAATTAAGCATCAAATACACCAACCCCTTCATAACATTAATGCTGCCCAGTATTCTGATCGTCCTGGCTGATGTGGTCAGCTTCGCCCTGCCGCTTGGAGGTGGAGAACGCAACTCTTTCAAGGTCACTCTTGTGCTCAGCTTCACCATGTTCCTCATCATCCTCAACGATCAGCTCCCTGGAGACAGCGCCTGCAGCCCCGTCATCCGTCAGTCAGCTCACACACAGACAGAAATACCCTCACAAACCAAATACTTCAACGGCATTACACTTTGATTCACTGAAACATTTTGTCTTCGCTGCAGGAACCCACTTCTGTATTTGTCTGGTCCTCTTGGTGGTGAGCATGCTGGCGTCCATGGTGATGACACGATTGGCCAAAGATGGCAGCCTCATTCTCTGCTGCTGCTCCCCAGTCCAGAGAAAAAAGAAAGACGATGAAGGTGAGGACAGCTTCACTGTAGTGACTAATTAGGGTGTTTAGACACTCACAAAATCTTGATTTTTCATAACACTGTATAACCTGCTCTGGTTGCGACTTTAATCCCTACAGAAGACAAAGCTGACATCAGTGTCGTTCAGGTGGATGGCACAGTGGAGAACACGCGAATGCTCCGAAAAGTGGTGAACTTCCTGGAGAATCTTGACGCGCAGACACTGGAAAGTGAGAGACATCAAATGTTTGCCAACAAACTGGATAAGGCATTTTTCTGGCTCTATTTCATTTCGGCCATCCTCTACTTTTCTGCTATGACGTATGTGATGGTAAATTATAAATGCACAGTTAACCATTTTGATTTCTGGTACTAATGAAATGCATGTCGTTACTATAACGACAGAGTGAGCTGAAACAAATACAATCTTACGAATTCTAATTCAACATACAGATTCAAAGACTGATGCAGATCACAGCATACGTTTATCACATTCTCTGTATCTCAAACACTGTAGTGCTGATTTGTATTTGTTGTTCCTCTCTCGTGTCTGATAAAGATGTGTGTGTCAGCATATTTGTGGGAATTTACCAAATAATTTCAGCCTGTTGATGTCATTTTAATCACATAAAGTATGTAAGTATATGGAATAGTTATTTAAAACTGGGGCATCTGCACAAAGGACAAAACCATGTTCCTCCAGCTCCATGTCTTTTTTTTTTATGATGACCCATCTCACTTGGTTAAACACCTGTGCACAGTGTAACACAAGTACACTTTTGTATAATGGAGTCTATATTCAGTTGCAGACTTGCAGTCATTTGTTTCTCTGTGTAAACCTGTTCAGTCTCTGCAACCACTGAGTTCTAGCCGGTGGTTTTGTGTCCTTTCATTTCACAGTTCTAATTTTCTTTGCAATCAGTAAAAGTATCCACAATATATACCTCTGGTCTGTGCCATATGTGTCTTATTTATAGATCCTTGCAAAAGTAAAAATGGATGTGAGGGCATCCACTTCTTTTCTCTGAACCCTTGAATTACTGGACAGTCCCAGAAGATGTTTTTTCTCCTGTTTCTGTACAGTTTCTCAGCATAATGCTGCAGCTGGTTCTTTCACATATGAATAAATAATAAAATGTGTATTAAAACATCTGCTTTCTTACATCCAGCCAAATTCTTTCCATCTTATCTTACTATATAATGATGAAAACTCTGTCTGTGGGTGTGTCTGTTCCATGTTTTTCTCCTCACTGGCTTGGTCAATCCATGTGAAATTTGGCACAGTGGTAGAGGGTCATGGGAGGGTGCGAATGAAGCAATATTACATCAATTGGCCAAAGGGGGGCGCTATAGCAACCGATTGAAATCACAAACTGAATGGGCATATTTCATGCCCCATATGTCGTAGACACATGAAACTTTGCACAGAGATGCCTCTCCTCATGAGGAACAAATTTGCCTCAAGAACCCATAACTTCCGGTTATATAGATTTTCCCCCATTTTGAATTTTTGAAAAAATAATGAACATAATCTAGGGACCAATATCTAAAGTTCCCTCTTGGCAAAAGTTGGAAAACTTACTAAAACTGAGCTTCTATAAGGCAATGAATATTGTGGAGGGCGTGGCTCATCACATAAAGGTGTATAACATCTCAAGGGTTTCACTGATCATCACGTAACTTTGTAGGCATATGACCACACATAATCTGAGGGGACCCCTCCATTATTGACCCCATCAAACAAAATGGGGGCGCTTTTCACTAAACTTGGTAGATATGTAGAACAGGACGCCTCAAAGTGACTAGAGAAATTTAACTCTAATTGGCAACTGGATGGCGCTATAACAAAAGAAAAATGCTTAAAAATGGCTAAAATGCGACTGATTGCTGTGGCTCCCCCTGTGGCCGAATGTTTGGGTTTTTTTCTAATTTTTGGTGTGACTAAGTCATGGTATGGTATGCTGTACATAATCACAGAAACTGTCAGTGTGTCATTTTGTCAGTTTGTCATTTTGTCTGTCCCATGTTTTTCTACTCACTGACGTGGTCAATCTATGTGAAACTGCACATAGGCATTGAGGATTGGCATAGGTAGAAGGTGACAAAGCTACCAATGGGTATGGACTAGTAACTTTCTATTGATTCAAAAATCAGAGATTTTATTGTTGAGGATTTTCTAATATTGAATAAAACCCTCCTCAGTACTTGTATTCCAAGATTTTTTGGGGGAATTGAAATCCATAGAATAAAGTGCACAATACACAATAAATGTCTACAATTACAAATACATGAAGGAAAAGACAAACAAAATGATGTAAAGGACTCAGAATCTGCTCAACACTGATGTAACTTTGTTGCCACCTAGTGGTTGAATCATTCACTGCAGACAGACTAGTGACCCTGGTAAGTGTCTGCACAGCTTCTGATGATATTTCAACCAGCTGGACTCTGTCTATGTTCCGGGATAATAAAAAACTATATAAGGCAGCTTATGAGAGGTGATAATGTTAATTTTTAATTACATGTTTAGAAAATTAAACGTTTACACTTTGAACATAGACTACCAGAACTCACTTGTGACATAGTGTCTCATTTGGAATTACAGTTCAATATACAGTAGATAAGACAATCACAGAAGCCACTAAACAGATTGACATTAAGAGCCACAAAAGACAGTTTTAATTTCATTGTTGTATTTATCATTTTATTCTCTCAGAAAACACGATTTTCCAGAGACATTCAAGGTAAATGACCAGTTTTTATATAAAATCACACCCACACCTTCTTTCAAAACATGTCAAACTTAATAAACTTCTCCCAACCATACCTTCTTCTAACAAAATACAGTTTGATTAAAACAACATAAAGCAGTAGTATAAAGGTCCACAATCCAGGTTTGAATAATAGGCACAATATGGTGACAAATATATGTATTTTATCCCCAACAGCCCTTTTTATAACAGTATACAGTACATTCATAGATGCTGCCTGCAGGGCAGAGGCAGTCACAAAAGTGCACATTGCCTTGATCCGAGCACCATCAGGAACCAGGCATTTTAACATTACCTTCCTAAAGGGTAACTTCTGTATCTTCAAACCTGGACCCTATTTTCCCATGTTTTTGTGACTGAGTGATTAATGGAGACAACACATTCTACAACCTGGTCAGTATTGAGCGACTGTGAAGTAGTCTGTAATGTAACCATTCAGGCATGTTTGCACTGTCAATTTACTGCTACTACAATTGTTTATTTTTGCTACTGACAGGCTCAGAATTTCTTTGTAAGTGTCTGCCAACATTATGAAAATGATCTGTAGAGGTCGACCTTTTGGTTTAAGAGTAAAATTCTTTTTGTTTAACCAGGAACAGCCCGGAAATTGCAATTGCCAAACCCACCAGACTCCATTTAAATTAACAGTAATTTTATCATCATAACACACACACTGCATTCGAACTTGACAGAAACAAAATAAAACAAACAAAAACTGCTTTGATTTGTCTTTACGTTGTTCTGAAAATCACCAACTCTGGTTTGGTTAAAATTGATCCTTATTTCAATCAGTTAGCTGTGAAAATATGCTGGTTCTATACACGCTAAAATTATTGTTTATTTACATGGAGTCTGGTGGGGTTGGAGATTGTGATGGAGATGGCAATTTCGGGGATGTTTCTGGTTAAACAAAAAGGATCTTCCTCTCAACCAAAAACATCTATCTCTGTAGTGATGCTTTCCACAATGTTGTTGTGTTGAGCCGTTCAGTGGCAAAAACAACTCCATAAATGGCCATAAATTGACAGTGCCATATGGCCCGCGTGGTCACATTGCAGCTTGTTTTCCCACTGAAGACTTGCTTAATACTGGACTAACTTCTATAATTGTAACTCCCATTAGGCACTTAGCCAAAAAAACATGGGAAAAAGGATGAAAAATACCGAGGTTACCATCCTGCTTTAAGATAAACGAAAGCCTATTGTGACAGTGGTTTACATTTCACAATTAGCTTGCATTAGTAACAAAAATACAGCTCTGTGTGCTCTGAGCTAATTGGCAATAGGCAAAACCACTGTATGGAATGTATTTTCAAAAGCAGCGATAGTGTATTTCAATTATTAGAAAAGTTTGGCAATTATTCATGAATTCACCAGTCGATGAATTCCGAGGAAACCACATATACAAAATCAGTCCTATCAAAAACTTGAGTGAAATTGTAAGAAATCCACAACCCTCACAAAAGATCATGTATCATGTAAATATAACATGTCCCATCACATTCCAGGTGTGTCGTCACTTGTCTCTCAACTTCAAGGATCTTCTGTTTTCTTCATTGCCTTTAATAAAAAACAAATAAAAAAAAATAAAAATGGAGAATGTAATGAATAATGCCAATCAGATGGAAGCAGGGATATATGATTAATCTTTACATACCTGTTTAAAAATCTGTACACCAAGATAGTTCTTTGCCATGCTACTCAGGTTGGACTTCCCTCCCACCTTGCATCGCACATAGCCATACAGATTGGCCCATTGTAAAACCAAGCCCATGATTACTACAGCCTGCGTGGCACAAACATGAACGAGACAATGAGCAGCTTGTTAGACAGAAATCAGCATTCACTTTCACGTAAACACTGAACTGACCAGCCATTTGATCTTGAACGAGATGATGGTGCTGAACACAAAAACGATCCAGAACATGGGGCACACGATAAGTCCGAGCCAGAAGATCCGTGACTCGGCGCTGGACGTCATGCTCAGACTGTGCGTCTGTCGGGGAAAAGCAGACAAGATTTCGTTTCATGCTATTGAATAAAAATCCAAGATAAAAGTTATAGGCTTTGGAAATTCATGTCAAATGTCTCCATTGTGCCGTATGATATTTCTAAGAGAGGACAATGCAGCTGTTTTATGTTACACTATCTTATATTGTGCAGTAAGGTCACGCGGCTATATTACACTGTAAAAAGGATTAACAAATGTGAGACTGGCACTTTAAAAAAATCGCTGCCAGGTGTACTGAGGCCGTGTAATTGTAGATGCACATACAGGAATGCAGTCACCTCTGTGCTACTTCCAACACCCCTGTATTTACTGAGATCCCTATTACTACCCAAGAAGTGGCGCTGACTTGCTGCCAAGGTCACATTTAATTGTAAAAAGGAAACGCAATAAGGCTGTTTAGCTTACAAAGGATGTTGTTTTTACCAAATATGCTTTTCACGTGAGAAACCTTTGTTAGGAAAACTATTCTTTTCTCTTGCGTTGAAAAGAATCCTGAGCAAATGCCCGCCGGGCTCTTAGGATTGTATCTGATGACCATCTGCTTACCTTCCTTGACTCAAATACCCAGTGGCTCTTCCCATCTTCATCCACTTGATTCCACCACCGAAGGCCCACCAACAATCTGCCAGATACATTCTGGGGCAAAAAAGAAACACATTTGGAAATGAAAGCCTTCTACTTTGAATGAATGAATGAATGAATGACACCTTTACTGCACCAAGGGGGGGTTAAAGAAGTGCCAGCTCAAGACTTTGTGGTTAGAGGTTGTTCAGCAGCTGAATACCTCATGAGACAAATGATATGATGCATCCTGGGCATGCTATACCTGCACCCTGAATGTAAGAGTGCATATTCAGGCCAGAGAGGATGCAATGAATCTGCTTTTTTATAGATTTTAGCAAATACAGGACTCAACTGCTCACAACACTTCTGTAGCACATTCCTATCCATTCTATCAGGAGCGTTGGATTTCCTAGTACTGATCTGGGTGCACCACACTGCCTCTGATGTGACCCGAATTGGTGTACCATCCTCTGTCCAGGCCCCTTGGGGCTCCCACTGGGATGGTACTTTGATTTGATTTGACATGACACACACACACACACACACAACCCCAGATTTAATCTAACAAGGGACACGGAGATGCAAAGAGACAAAATAAGACAAACGTGGAATAAAAATTGTTAAATAAAAGAGACAGCATGTAAATGTAGTTAGTGTTGGGGGTAAGGCGTTAAAAAATTTACAAAAGTAACACGTTACAGCAATATATTATGCTTTAGCAGTAACAAAGTAACACCCCCATTCTCATCCAACTACACTGGCTTCCTGTTCAGTACCGGACTGATTACAAAAACCTTCTGCTCACCTTCAAAGCCCTCCACAACCTGGCCCCCACCTATCTCTCTGACCTCCTTCCAGGAGTACACCCCCTTCCACTCCCTGTGCTCTTCCTCTGCTGGTCTCCTGACTATTCCCACCTCACGCCTCAGGCCCATGGGTGCTGCATTGCCCCCAGGCTCTGGAACCCCCTACCTCCACACATTCAATGGGCAAACCTGCACGCCACTGGACTTGAAATGAAATGTAAGCTGAAAAACTGGAGCTTTTGTGCTTTGTTCACCTGCTGTGAAACATTAGCCTCATCTGATTATAATGCCTAGTTGTTCTTCTGACGTCATTTTGGTGAAAGTAAAGCAAAAGTAGTGTAAATTGTGAATGGAATTTTGAGGAACTGATGATTCTGGTGAATGATTTGATGCTTTTCTTCATCCTGTGTGATTGTGAAATAAACATAGTTGGAGTTGGGATGAAAGAACTAATGTGAATGTGTCACCTTGGGATATTACAGTAGGAACATTCACTGTTTTTCTTTTTTTTTTAATTAAATGATTGTTTACTCGGGAACACAATTTGCAGATTTATTGCAGCTATGAGTAATGTCTGATTGCAGCCCTGCATGCACGGTGTTATGTATTAAACTCAGGCATGAAACAGGAGTATATATATCCACAGTGGTGCATCTGACCTGCTCACCTTGACAGTCCAGAAATCACATGACAGCAGGAGGATGATGGTGACCATGCAGGCGATGAAACGACTGCTGAAGATGTCGCACAGTAAGTAGACCAAGATGGCACTTGTTCGGAAGAAGAGATGGAAGAATGAGGCCAGTGGATGTCTGAAACAGATTTTATTGTTTGTATTTGGTAACAGCGGGACCTTTAATAGAGCAATTAGCCATAACCACAAAGTAGCACCTTATTCTGGACTTTCTCAGCCCGACGTTACCGTCATCTTCGCCAAAAAGAGGCGCATCTTGGGAATCCTGAGAAGATAAATACAACATTAGCAGATTAATGCTAATGCTAATCTGCCAAATTAGCTCTCTGTTTCCAGCTTAGTTCGTCATTTCAATGAGAAATGTGTGAATATTGAAGTGAAAAATATCGATTCAGACGAGGTACACTACACCCAAATACAAATATGTGTCTAGGTAATCACAAATAATCATATTTAGCATCGTTCACCTGTCTCCGCATCTCGACACTTCCGGGTGACGTGGTTGTAAACAAAACCGTGTGCTGAGGACCCCGAGGAAGAGTGGCTTCAAATGTGCCTGACTAAAAGGTAAGCCTGACATATCTAGCACAAATAAATAGTAATTTATGTCGCATGTGATTGTTCCTGTGCTAATAAATGCTTTTATTTCAATCTTCTAAGCTGGGATACACTTTTGCAAAATGACAGGAAACCAGGGGCCAGTTTATAAACATTACAATGTATCAGTTATTAATGAATTGCCTTTTTTTCAGCCTTTCCACGTTTACTGTCCTTACTCATCTTTGTCAAGAGGCAAATACAGAAGCAGCAGGTCAGGTGAAACCTCCACAGGGGCTTACCTAGAATTAGAGGACCTTCTGGGCTTAGACTGGACTTCCATCCGGGGTGTCCTAGGGATCCACCCCTGGCTCATTGTCATGAACAAGCTCTACTTTGATGCTTTTTTTAGTGCACTGTGGTATCTTATTGACATTGAGAGTACAAAAGAGGAGTTGGCTCTGTGAGTTGAGTATCACTTTTGTAAGCTCTTCCAAAAGCTTTAGTTGGTTTCTTTAGTGCATTTAATTCATTGACTTGTTGCATAGTTTTTTTTTTAATTTTTTTGTATTTCATATAAAATCACTCTGATAGATGCATAGGTAGATCAATTCTTTATTGTTATCACCACGCAACCAAGTTGATAGTTTTTTTTGGCACAGCATGGTAGCTCAGTTCAAAAGAAAGAGAAGAGAAAAACAGACAAACAAACAAAAGCAAGCCACATACACCATAAACCATAACAACAGTGCACACAAAATACCACCCAAATGGCATTTATTTCAGAAACTTGCACTTGTTCATTTTCATTTATGACAAAATTTGTTTTTTAACTAAATACAGCTTGATTAAAACAACATAAAGTGGTACTTTAATGCCCGAAATCCAGGTAGCAGCAATAAGGTAACAAAGCTATTTATATAGGCTGAGCAGCATACAGTACATTTAGAGCCTAATAAAGTCTCCCCCCAAAAAAATAATTATGGTTGCAACTAACAAATGATATTATTATCCATTTAGCTACAAATTCTTTTATGATTAAATAAGTTAATCATTTGGTTTATAAAAATTTCCTGATGTCCATGAATTCAGGAAAAAATTCAGCAAAATTAAATCTCTAAAAATAAAATAAAAACTGTTATTTTTGCTTCAAAACTTTGCTTCAAACTAGATGCTAGCTAGAGCTGCTTTCAGACTTTGGTCTTTCAAAATAAGCTACTATAGTTTTTTTCATTAGGTCAACTACTACAACTGTGCGTGCTCTTAATAATAATCACACTAGTAATGATAACACCTGGTGACATAATCATGCTCTCACTCAACTTACATATGCTTGCCTTTATTTTGTGCATAAAGAGGCTGACACATAAAACGAGTCATACAAGATTAGCTTCGCAACTCATTATTTTTTTACTTCTAAAAATAACATTTGGAGTATATTTACACTGTCACGCACACAGGCCACAACATCACAAGAGGCGACGTGTGACAAAGTGATGATATTCGTCAGTCAACATCTGCTTCACAATTTTATGGAGAAATAACAAAGCATCATCAAAACAAACTACGATTTATACAAAACAGCTTTATATTGTCAAAACAGTTGGCTGTACACGTCGGATGCCCCCGCAGCGTTATGTGAGCACAAAGACCTCAAACAGGCTGGCGACTGAGTGCATGCGGTAAAAGATGCCAAAGGGGAGTCCAACATTCACAACCGCAGCCCACATGTTGAATTTGTAGAATCCAGTTTCAGCGTCGTGGTCGAACTGGGGTCGAGCACCGAATGCTGGCATGATCCACAGCTGTCACAGAAAGGAAGGAGAACAGGTTGAGTACTTGGTGAATTTTAAAACAGTGACTTTGAGCGTGTGAGGGAGAATGATACTCACTATGATGTTGCCCATCAGCAGAAACGCGCAGACCTCCTTCAACACCCGTCTCTTCCATGACAGTTTGTGCCTGTGCTCAGGCATGTGGCTGTGCTGGCTGTGTGTTGTGAGTACCGGGCTGGCCTTTGGGTCATTTTCTGATCGTTCAAGCATGCCCAGGTCTTTGCCCGACTGCAACACGTATGGATTCGCAACCACAGTGATCGGATGCACCTCGTGCACCTCGTGGAAGGGCTCCCGGTGTAGACCTTCGATGATGAAAAGGTTCTGCAAGCCGAGTTGGATGATCATCAGGATAGCCCAGGTCAGGTTGAGCCTGTTCAGGTGGCCTTTGGTTCCGGTTGCAGCCATGGCAACAATGGTGAAATAGCTGATGATGAATTGCCCCAGCGAGGCTCCCACCAGCAGCCCCACATCCAGGTTGCGCGTGGGGTTCTTCTCAGACACATGCTCCCTGTGGTCAAACTTGTAGACGGCACAGCCGATCACAGTGGACACAGACATCAGGGTCACTATCACTATATTCATGACAAAGTGCATCATCACTGCGTGGTCTTTCTCGTCCTCCTCACTGTCATCGTCACCCATTACCATCTCATACACGATGAAGGTTGCCAGACCTGCCACGACTAAGAGAATTCCTGCCAGTGGGCCAAAAAATACATCCTTGAGACGGAACTTGAAGTGGTGGTGTCCGTGTTCTTCTGTCAGTCTGCCCACATTTTTCCACATGACGTATGCCATGGCAGAGGCAAAGAGACTGTACTCAATGTTGAAGGGGTACAGGTAGTAGTATGCATTTTTGAAGGTGCTACATGAACCGTGGCTGCACTTGCACTTATCATCTCCATAACCAGCTGTAAGACATGACGGGGCACAGGGAGACAAACGTGTTATGGTTTGTTTAGGGTTGCAGCAGTAAACTGTGGAACTGTATACTGTGGTAGGAAAACTGACAGTTATGATACCGTGTACATTTGCTTATCTATGGTTTACATTACTTTATGGTTCATTGTAACCAATAATAATACTTATGCGTACACCGTGACCCTGAAACTGTACGAGATGGTTATCCAACCATGAAATTCTCGTACTGTTGTAGCCCTTGTTGTGTGGTATTATACTGACTGCTATCTGCTTTAATTACCTTTAGAGATGTACATTTTTCGTCCATGGATTTTAGTTTCGTTCTCCGGATATTCAGGAAATGTCGTTTGGTGAACGGACTCCTCAGTGACCAGAGTCATCCACACGACCAGATTTGTGGAGAGGGTGAGCATCAGCCCACAGCTAAATGGTAACACCAGAGGGAAACAAAAGGAAATCATGATCAGAGACAAAAACAGTGTACAGGAACTTGAATCATCTGCTTTAATGTCAGATTTTAATCTCATATTTATACTGAATATGGGCGCTAACCGAAACTGGTGTATTACAATTTTAAAAAATGTTAACAAATTAAAGTCATTTAGGCAAAAATGACAAAAAAAAAAACACAATTTCCAGCTTTTTGATATATTAAATATGATGTGAATACTTAATGATTTTCTTAGTTCTCTATTATAGTGAACTGAATACCTGGGTTTTTGATTGAATAACCACATTGTGATAAGCATTTTACACTATTTTCTGCAATTTTACCAACTAAATCATTCATCAACCAATCAAGAAAATAATTAGATTAACCAATATTAATCTATTGCAGTTAATTGTAATACAAACAAAATAATAACCGCACGTTTTAAGGTCTGCACATAAAGAGAAATGTATGTAAACATCAGTAATGTGGCTGCAGCTCCAGTATAAATATACTCTCAGTTGTCTAAGTTACTCTCAATTTCTCGGGGAACAAATGTTCAAGCGGAAGAGTTCATTTATAAGTATCAGATAGATTCCCTCAGGGAGCGGACGCTTACAAAGACAGCAAGTGATAAAAAGGGAATCCATTCATCACCAACCGTGTAATGTTCCTTTGTAGCTGCACACAGTCTTTGGCGTGGATCCACAAAAAGAATGTCTGCAAAACGATTGCACAAACATATGAATATTTTGCAACGATAAAAGCAATTATTTTTGGGAAATTTCTCTGTGATAGGTACCTGCACAATTATGAAAAGAAGTTGCACCACAGGGAATGCAACTTTAACAGCAGAGTCGCAGTGAAGGTAACCCACATAGCTGGCTATCTTGAAAATGTCCATGATAATACTGAGCAGTCCAAACAGCACAAGTCCACCTGAAGGAGCAAGAATTAAAATCATGAAACTATTTCAAAATGATCTGTTGATTAAAAAACAAATTCTGAACTTTTTTTCTTCACTTACCCCTGAGCCACACAGGTCCAGCATGACCATCCTTGTAAACAATAGCATTTTCTGTCCTGGCTGTATAGATGACATAATAAATCATCCAGATGGAGGTGAGGAGGATGATGATGATGAGGAAAACCTGCAGGTCAACGCTGCTGATCTTTACATTGTTGTAGGCGCTGCCGCTGACCAAGGCGCAGCCCAGGATCAGAATGTTTACACAGATGATCCCAGACACCATCCATCCCCAGTTGTGACTCCGCTCCCTCGCTGCTCCCATGGAAGGGATGTTCAGGTCAGGTTCACATATGCTCGCCGCTCGGCTCGGTGCGTTGATGTTGTTGGACAGGTGGGCCTCCTCTGCCTCCTTCTCTTTGGCAGTCATCCTGCATGGTTCACAGGGATCACCATCGTTCAGACAGTGGCACGGATAGCCAGTGTTCAAACACATCCTTCTTCTCCCTAAGCTTGGCTCACATCTGCACTATATACTGCATGTGGTTTCATATGAGACATTACAGGTTTAACAGCTACACCCACTCATTGACTTCTTGTAAAGACCGATCCCGCCCAAGCAAAACCTTTCCATGAACACAAAATCAGCATAATTGTCACCCTGTTGGTGCTAAACAAAAACTTCCCTTTCATCCTCTTGGCAAGCAATGCATGTTAATGGTGCTGTAGTGAGTGAGAATCCACAAACATGTTTCCTGTGCATTAGCTGTTATTTTCTCTAGGTAATTAATCCACACTTTCCTTCTGCATCTCTGATGAAATCAGGAGTAACATCAGGACAGGTGAAATATAATCAGGTAAAAGTAGCTCTTGTCAATTTAGCAAACAATCAGACAAAGCGGCAACCTTTCAATAATGACGGAAAGGTTTCAGGACACCTGTAAGCCTACCTGATGCAGTGTGTTTCTGAGAGGCAGTCTGAGCTGTCTTGGCTTTTATACGCCTCCAAAACCCACGGTGGTTTACTGTACAGTCATAAATGTCAATAAATCTGTTATGAACAACACCATATTATCACCAAACACAGGGTGTTTTGCACAAAATATTCATGTAAAGTTCAAAAGATGTTTCCAGGAAATACCTTTAATCACAAATTCCAAAATACCAGAAACCGGTTCCTTTTCAGATAAACAGCAATTTTTTGATATTATACAATACATCTTCTACGTCTTAACAGCATGCACAAAATAAATGTAACAATGACAACAAAACTGCGTGTGACATTAAATATCATTTCCTCATCATCTGTTTTTTTGCAGTTATAAATACTTTAGAGGCTCTATGAGTTGTCTTGTCCCGTTTTCCTGCAGCTGACCACATGCAGCTACGCCTCAAAACTTAAACATGATCTAAATTCTCTAAATAGGCGGAGCAGGTGTTAGTCACTTATCTTTTTTGTTTGATTCACTGCTTGGAGGGAATACTTTCAGTTCTTTAATGCTATTCAATGGCTCGATGAAGTGCGGCTTCTGTATCTTATCTCTGTGAAACGCCCGAGGGGTCGTCCATGAAAAGCCTGGCCATTATCTCTGCCTATTGTTGTGGAAGTTTCAACTGGTTGAGAGCTTCAGTCCAGTGCCTCTGGTGCAACTATGCTTATTTCAGATCGATACTTATTTGTGGAATGGCCTGCAGGAGGGGATCAGGGAAACCATCGCATTGTCTTCCTCTAAATCTCTATTTTAGGCTTAATTTTGATTTTTTTTACTGTTGTTTTATCCTCTTTTGTTGCATTTATCATTATATTTTAATAACTGTTTGCTTATTTCCCTTTTAATTGTATGTAAAGCGCCTTGTATCTTGCTTTGAAAAGCACCTTAGGCCTATAAATAAAGGTATTATTATTAGTAGTAGTATTAGTATGACCATAGTTTAGAAGATTTATTCCCTTTCATCGGGTTGGGGCTGACAGCAGAGGTACTTTTTCATTCAACACTCCGTGGCACTCGTGAATTCGTCCTTTCTCTACACTCATGTGTCTGAGCTGTAAAACTTACCAGCAGTGGAAAGTTTAAAGTGAGAACAATGGCTTATTGAAAAGAACTTGGACAAACAATGACACCAGAATGGCTCTGGCTCTTCCTCGTGTTTCACAATGAGCGAGATGCTCCAGTAATGCTTACACATCCTGAAATGCTTGTGCTAACTATTTCCTGAACAAGTTTATGTAACCTAAGTGCTGTGACTGTTTTTGGCTTGACAATTATTCCTGGGTGAGGAATGAGAGAGGAAAGGAAAGGTTTCAGAAATGTTTTCAGATTTATTAAAACATAAAAAACATATAAATATTCTACCAGATCAAAAGTCCATGGGAATATGACTTTTATATGTAGTCACTGCAGAGACCAAAGAGGTGCAATATGTTCCACAGCACCTCATACATCCTCCAAAATGACCATACAGTTGAATGAACACATCTCTAAAACAACCCTTTTCAAGGTGGGGTTTATTGCAGGATTGTTGCATTACAGTACATCACTTTAATTCTGTGTGCTTAACAAACTGGCAACTATAATGTCTTTTTAATGTGATTACTGAGAGCCTCAGACACACACAGGCTTGAAATGAATGGTGACATCATTAAATAACAGTACGAACTTTAATTTATCTGAGATAAACTACCTGTTTGTGGGCTTATTGTCATTTTGGGGGGATTCCTTGTGTGTGTTGGACCACCTCGGCCACCGGGAGCACTGTTACCCACACGGTGCGCACCGTGGCGTCCCTGGATACCACCGACGCGCTCCTGCGCTGATCAGGAACCACTGGCTGTGAGGGAACGGCGGGACTAAGAGGCACCTCAGCCGGTCTGCTCCCACTCCCATCGCCGCATAACGACGACGATGGTGGTGGTGATGGTGTTGATGAAACGGAATGGAGTCGAGCAGGGTGGATTAATTCTTCACCATGAATGACAGGTACCACAAGGCGGCCCGGGACGGCTACCTGGACCTGCTGAAGGAGGCGACTCGGAAGGATCTGAACGCGCCGGATGAGGATGGCATGACGCCGACGCTATGGGCTGCTTATCACGGCAACCTGGAGGCTCTGCGGCTGATCGTGGCGAGGGGGTGGGTAGCGAAACTTTATTGGTTGCTGCATGACTTTCGAAGGCGTGTGCGCACCACGGTGTCCATCTTCAGCCACTCGTCTTGGGTATTAAAACGCAAAAGGGACTTATTTTACTATTGTCTGTCTTGCAATCAATTTGCAGTGTCAGATCGGGCAGAATGAGGCAAACAATAACGAAAAATCATCCAATTTAGTAGAAATAATAAGGTAAAACAATCTTTAAATACTCAAACTACTTAAAGAGGCATTTTGCATTTAAACCGCACAAAGTCCAGCTACTCAAGTAACAATACACCACTGACAATGTAGGTCATCGTTTACAGAGTCCAGCAACTAGGCTATTGTAGTTGAACATACCAGAGGACCTGGCATTCTAACTACACAGAATCCTCAGGCTTTGCTCCTGGACAAGAGGAGCACTTTGAATCCTTAAAGTGGGTCAAATTTAAACTGTTTCGACATTTGACAGCAGTCAAACCCTAAATGCATTCTTTTAGCCTTAAATTTGATGACTTTTCCTTAAAGTGACCACACAAAAATGGAAATATTTTAAACATGTTATACTTTTATACAGCTGCCATTAAGTTTTGGACATTGCGGCTCTTCTAGGTCAAATTTTAACCTATTGACATGGGTTTTAGATTTTTAAGGCTTTTTGGTTTGGTTGATAGGATGGTTTTTGGCATTGGGGGGGCGGGGCGGGGGGGACGACATGCGGCAAAGGTCATGGTTTGCCCATGTGTGTATTTTTTTTTAACGGGACATTGGTAACAGCAGGGACCTTGTCACTTGTTCCCACCACATTGTCCCAGGTTCCTATCGAGACAGGCACCTGTTGGTCTTATATAACAGCTAATGCATCATCATTCATGGTGCACATAAGGAACAGAGGCCAAAGCATGCCTTGACACTGTCCCCATGCACCTGCAGTGTGACGAGATAATCTCAAAATAAACACACTGACACCCATCAATTCCCAGCTAACCAACAGAGCTCAAAAGCATAATGTAAAGGAACCTGACTGAGATCATGGCAACAAGACTTAGTGTCCAAATGGTCATTGATATGTTCTACAAAGTACAGCAAGCAGAGAGTGGGGACAGTGATTGATGGTTGCAATGGTTACTAGTAGTTATATAATAAACCCCAAAGCAGAGCAGCAGCACTCCAGAATATTCTTGACATTTTCACTCATGATGGCTGTTGTGTTTTCATGTCTTAGGTTAAATAGGACATGACAGTGTGCAACAGTAAATGTTTATTCAACATAACGAGTGGTGTAAAACCTTAAAATACACTCTTCCTGCTCTATGAAACAGAAATTTAGGATTAATCACCCATTTATTAATGTCAGTCAGACCGATTGGGCTTAATGTGGTCCATACTGTGAAGGTATAGAATATGAAAAGTATTTAATGGTTAACTAAACAACCAGTTTGGGAGGTGCCTGGTTGGCAATGTCAAAAAAATGTTGGGGTAGACACTGTATTTTCAAGATGAAAAATATTTCTGCACATGATGTTAACAGGCCTGTACCCACCATTTCAGGGACATCTTCTTTTTTTTTTTGCATATTCTACATTTTTCCTACATTTCTTTCCGACCTTCACAGTTAAAGCATTTTAAATCGATTAATCACACATTCACCAGATATTTTCATAACTATGTAACTTTATTATCACTATCTAAAAGAGGATTACCAATATGTCATAGCAGGAGATGGTGAGTCATTTTCAAAGGCACACAGAACCATTGACTGTGTAGCTTTCACACCTCTATTCCATTTAACATGATAACACAGTTCAAGGTCAGCTGATAGCAGGAGCACCTCTCATTAAAGTGCCTATACATGGGATAAGTCATAGAGATATTGCTGTGGCAAGTACTGTTCATCAAATGCTCTGCAGTCCTGCACTCAGTGACAGTATAACAACTCCAGCGTCTACATTGGCTCATGAAATAACTTTAAAACATAAGTTATAACTCACTCCTAATCACGATCTGTTATGTAACAGGGAGCATTTCAGTACTTTTTTGGGAGATGGCTATATGGAGAGGCTGTAACCTATCATTACATAAGTGCTGATTTTATATCATCAGATGCAAAACTCAAATGAGCAGCAGATATGATAATTTTAGGAGACTGTGCCATGGTATAAATGCTCGCCTTTCTTCAGCAAAGTGTGCAAATCTGATTGGTCATCACGAACAGCCCACTCCTCGTCATTTCTGGCTGACCTGGTTTGCTTGTCAGCCAGAAAAATGGGCCCCATTATGAATCTGTTTAATTGAGGAAAGTTTGTGAGAGACTTGCTGTGAAAGTGAGTCGACATCTTTCATCTGTGTTTGGTTTGCTGAATGCAAAATACCACACATGAGGAAAGTTTTTTTTTATTAGAACATGCAGGCAACAAAGTGTGCAAGCTTCCTGTGCTATACATGATAAAAAGAAATTCACCATTTCCCACAGAGTACATACAGACAAACTCTGGAGGCATTCAGCTGCCAAGGACATAGCGTGCTTCTATCGATAGCAAAAACATAAACTTCTGATTGACATGAGGTACTAAAATTAAACCGTAATAGCCGCCATAATGTTTCACAGAAGCACCAAACGTGTGAGACCCAAAGATATAATGAAGAGAAGTTTAACGCTGCTTGACAGTTTCATGGGAAAGTTGCCATGCAGTGCTATATTTGGCTGGTATATTGCACTGGGCGGGCTGCAGTAACATCAAGCTGTCAGAGGAAGTGAAGACGCGCACAGCCATAATGTGATAAAGAACGGGGTGAGATTAGTGGGCAGACCTATCACCGCTGCGGTCAGCATTTTACGGGGACTGACATAAATTATGACACATAAAGCTATCATGCGAGATGGTCTCTACCTACAACCAGCATATTGCATAATCTAAGGGTGATAAATATTTCTTCTAAAAATAAAAATTGACTAATTGCTGTTTATCTTTTGACAGCAGTTCATAGCATTGTATGCTTCTTTGTGTATTTCAGCCTAAGGTTATCAGTGCAACTCCTTTGTTTGGTCGTTGTTTAATTGTGTCTTTCTTGGCTGTTTGCCACGTACTGTCCATCACGCTCTGATGACATTTGGACTCGACTTTGCACTGATCCTAAAACTGCCTTTTCTTTCTGAACGTTTAAAAGTAATCCTGTCCGGACAAAAGAAGAGCAAGGGGGCTGAAATCAGAGTGGGACCTTGCTAATCGCTGCCCAGGTTGGGCCCAGCAGATCTGACACACATTCCCTGAGAAAACCTTACAACACAATCCATCAATTATACATTTGCACTTCAACAGTAGCTTCATGTCTATCGTATCAAATATTCAGCAGCCTGTACGTGGCTGCATTGGAAGACAGGGACAAGACACAAGACAGCTCAGTAAACATGCCATCTCAGGGGGTGGGATACAACCAGATGACTCTAAACTGAAAAAACTAAATGTCAAATTACCACTATTTAGTGGTGTTGGCCACAAACAAGCTGTATACCGTTAAAGAATCCTGAACATTATTATCAGTAAAATGCTTGATGGAATACTAGTTTGGACAACATTTTAATAATGGGCCACAGATGGATTATTAAATGGGTCTACTGGGTACAGGCCCAGGGCCCCCAAGTGTCAGACATGCCCCTGGCCTTCACCTGCAAGTTGTTATTCAAATTGATATGTACGGACCAGCAAGAGACACAAAAAGACCACTAATAGATGCAAGGGAACTACCAAGAGACACATATTTACTACAAAAGGGCTAAAACAACCACAAAGAGACACCAAATGAATGCAAAGAAATACAAAACAACCACAAGAAGACATAAATCGACCCTAAAACACACACAAAATAACCAAAAAGAGACAAAATGACTGCAAAGAGACATAAAACGATTACAGGGAGACACAAAATGACCTCAAAGACACACAAAATGATTACAAAGCAACACAGAACAGATACAAATAGACACCAAATGACTGGAGAGAGACACAAAATGACCAAAAAAGACACAGAAAGACTTCACAAAACAACCACAAGAAGACACAAAATGAATACAAAGAGACACAAAACAACCACAAGGAGACAAAGTGACTTCAACAAAGAGACACAAAACTACTACAGGAGACACAAAACAACCACAAGGAGACAAAATGACTACAAAGAGACATACAAAGACCACAAGGAGACACAATATGACCACAAAGAGACAAAAGACAGCCAAAAAAGACAGAGACAAAGAGAGACAAAACCACCACAAAGTCTATGACTCTTGCTCCTGTTTAGGAAAGGTTGTGGGGCCTTCTGCATATCTGTGCCCCAGAGCCCATTGTCTTATAATCTGCCCATGTAATGAGCCATCAAATGAGCCTTCATAGATTTACATGCCAGGCTTATGATGGGAAATAACAGTAAGAAAGTTCCACGCATATCTGTCCTCCACATCATCAAATCAGTCACTGCATGTTTTGACTTGAGGAATTCAGCGTGACATCACCAGCCATGCACAGTCGCGCTTTCGGAGTCAGGCACAACCTATTCGGCCTCCCCTGAAACTGGAGACAGGTAGTGTAGCAGTGGTGCTGGCAAGCCTGTGGTCATATTACAGACAAGGCAGCGACAGTGCAGCACACACAGAGATAACCTTAAGGTCGTGGACTGTCAGCCAAGGGTAAATGTTGCTTATAGTTTTAGTTATGGCCCCTGCGTAGTGGTAAATCCCTTTAACTGGTCGTTTTAATCAGACCATCCTATTTGCTGATTGGTCAGAGCATTTTAAAAAGAGAATTTGTCTATGGCTGGTGTTCTGAAAGGGCAATGTGGTGTTTAGACTATAAATTATTAAATAAGGCCCCATTAACAACCCACGGATGGCAGGTCAGTGCTGAAAACATAATCAAAAAATCACATGCTTACTCATGAGTGAGTCATCTGAACAGAAGGCCAAAGAGGCAACCGGTATCCATAACCTTACTAACAGTCTGAGCAAGAGACGAAAATATTTATGTAGTAAATGTGATACAAAGTCAAAACGCTGTATCTAACATATTTTTTTATGACCCACAGAGGAAACCCTGATAAGTGTGACATATGGGGGAACACGCCGCTCCACCTGGCAGCTGCCAATGGTCACGTCAACTGCCTTTTCTTCCTGGTGTCTTTTGGTGCCAACATATGGTGCCTGGACAACGACTACCACACGCCGTTGGACATGGCCGCCACAAAGAATCACATGGATTGTGTCCGCTACCTGGATGCCATCGCTACCAAGCAGACAGGCCTCAACACCAAGCTGGTCACCAAGATGAAGGACAGGGCGTTTCGCGATGCTGAGCGGCGGATCAAACAGTGCGTGAAGATGCAGAAGAAGCACCACAAACGCATGGAGCAGAGGTTTCATAAGGAGACCTCTGAGGCCTCCGCGTCAGATGTCATGAGTTTTTCCAGTTACACCAGCAGCTCTCTCAGCCACAAGCTGCACAACTTCAATGCAGCCACTGTCAGTGTGCCATATTCTCAGGTCAGGAGTTTTTATATGTCTATTTTTAAAGGACAAGTCTGTTTGTTTTGCAGTTTTGTATGGTTCATGTTGCCAACCATAGACTGCAGGCTATGTAAAGATGGACGATATGTGTTCTCTTCTTCCCACTGTACAAATGAAAGCCCAAATATCCCAGATATGGGCGTGGTCATCAGATGCTGGTGATGTTATTTGTAGCCAGAGTCTGTGCAGTAGTGATAAGGGAGTGGAGCTGTGGTACTGAGCTCCCGCCCATACACTCGCCTGAGTCAACCATAATGTCATACTCCCTTTTTAAAGCATCAAAGAACTAATTAAAACCAAACTTATCAGAGACTCTTGAACATACATCAGCATGATAAGATCAACCTAAAATGACAGAAACGATCACATTTATTTGACATGATTACTTTGATCTTTTAATTTGTCTCCTTTCCTATTCACTAACATGGAGGGGGCAGGGTCTATGACCTCATCTGCAGCCAGTCACGAGGGATTGATTTTGCTTCAGTTTTGAGGAGCTGTCATGTCGTCCATTTTCAGTTTCCTTCTCGTAACTGTATAACATGACAAGACTAAGCTTAATTCCTACATGGTCACAGTGACACTGCAAAAATAATTAATATTTAATGTTTAACAACTATCTTATATAATGTTCACCATCTTAGTTTAGCATGTTAGCATGCTAACATTTGCCAGTAAGCACCAAACAGGAAGTACGACTGAGGCTAAATGGATTGTCACTGGCTTTAAAAGTATTTGGTCATAAACCAAATTATTGGACAAATGGTAATTTTGGCCAGATGATAATGTGAGGGCTCTGACACACCAAGTCGACGGTTAGCCATCAGTCAGTGTTGGGACAATGGTGGGCTTATGTTCTCCTATTTTTTGCAGTGTGTCCCATAGGGCTGTCAAAATTGCTCAAAAATGACGTTCGAATATTCCTTCTAAAAATAACTCATAGGTTCAAACCATTCGATTTTTTTTTTTTTTTTGCATTATGTCCACAAGAGGGCAAACTAATACAAGGAAACATAACTACTTGTAGGTATTTTTATTTCAACATAAAGGTCTTTGAAAACATTTACATACCTACACATTAAAACACATAAAACAATTATCTATAACATTATGTTATAAACGACCGCGGACCTCTCGCTCGCCCCCCCCCCCCGACCCGTCATGCAGTGCGTTCAGTGCAGTGGCCCAGGCCAACGCCCACTCGCAAAGAGGACAGCTGCGGTGGTGTGTTTTTTTTTCTCCACAATCGAATATCTTTTTTTTTTTTCAAATTCGAATTTAAATTCGAATTTAGAATATTCGTTGACAGCCCTAGTGTCCCGCACCATTGGCACTAGCTTGCCCCTGCCTGCTATTTTTCGCCAGTTTCAGCATGTTGAAATGGCGACCGAGACAGCAGAGCCCGAATGAATGAAATCACTCTGATTGGTAGTTCAGTTCAGTGCATGAGAAGAGAAGAGGAAGTGAGGAAAGCAAACAAATGACTAAATTCAAGGGGGCATGAGATAAACTTGTTATATAAGGTAAGATTATGTTTTTAGCCATTGAGTTCTTCAGCAGAAACAGTTCATAATTGTTTGTGTTATCAGATAGTGCACAGTAAATATAATCTGTTGTCTTAACATCTGGTTGCGCTGTTAATGTGCTAACTGGCTAACTAGCGTCTTGATTCCGACAGGTCGGTCCTCGGTTTCCCTTTTAGATGAATACAGACTACCACCACCTGCTGGTATGAAGAACGTATGTGCCAGTTAACTGTCAGCTGTAGTCTTTGTGGTGTGTTTAAGTAGAATTTTTTGCTTGAAGCACAAGCGACTTGAGGTGAACCAACAGTCGCCCTTCGTCACCACCAGTTTTTTGATCTCTGTATGGTGTGTCTGCGCCTTAAGCAGAAAAGTAAAGGGATTACCAAAGTTAACACAATTCATCTGAACCTCTGTACAAAATTTCAGTGCAATCCATTCAATAGTTAAAAAGACCGATCTTTAAAAACAAGAATGTCAGCTGGATGGAAGTCACATATCACCAAAGTCAGTATTTATCTTCTGGGGCCCATGAATATCTGTACCAAATTTCATGACAGTCCGTCCCGTAGTTGTTGAGATATTCCAGTAGTGGGCCTAGTTAATGAGTCTATCTACCTATGAGTCTATCTGTCTCAAAGCTTTTAACACTGGTCACTAGTAATGTTTGGAAAATCTAACCCTTTGATTTGTGATTGTAATTGCTGTTATTATTCATGTCTTGTTAGGCTACCCTCCACGCCACAAACCGAGGGAAGACAAAGATCCAGAGGAAGCTGGAGAAGAGGAAACAAGGAGATGGGACCTTTAAAATCTATGAGGATGGGAGAAAGAGTGTACGCTCCCTCTCTGGACTTCAACTGGGCAACGATGTCATGTTTGTCAAACAGGGGACTTACGTCAACCCAAAGGACCGTGGCCGCCGCAACATTCGTGACATGTTCCCCAGAGACAATTACGATGCCATTTCACGTGCCATGAGTGAGCCGGACCTCCACGGGCCCGATGTGGATTACTCTGAGATCAGCACTGACTCAGGACACGATTCCCTGTTCAACAGGCCTGGTCTGGGCACCATGGTCTTCAGGAGGAACTATGTAAGTGGGGGGATGTTTGACCTCGGTGGTCGGGATGACGGCAGTGCGGACCAGTCAGGCAATAATGTACGTTTACGCAGTCGGTTGCAGCAATACCCAAGTGCAGATGAAGACAGTATAGGAAGCGCACGCAGCCTGCAGGAGAGGAACGTGGAGGAGCTGCCCTGGGATGAAGTCGAATTAGGACTGGACGATGATGATGAGGCTGAAACCAGCCCTCTGGAAGTCTTCCTCGCCACGCAGAGCATGAGTGACTTTTTCTCCATCTTTAAGAGGGAGAAGATCGACCTCGAAGCACTGCTGCTGTGCTCTGACCACGACCTTAAGAGTATCCACATCCCCTTAGGACCGAGGAAAAAGATCTTAGATGCCTGTAAGAGACGACTGGAAACCATAGAGGACCCAGACTGCATCGAGGACACAGAACTGTAAGTGAAAGGATTTTCAGTTCTACAGTGTCGTCGGAAAGTATTTGTTCATGTAGCTTGTTATGATGTCTTTGTACTCCAGCATAAACCCTTTTCAGTTACAGTTCCTCCTCTTGTCTTCATTCTATCCTGCAGATAATACAAGTTGTTGTAGACGGTCCCTCTTGCTGTGTGCTCATCCACGCTTAAAGGTCAGTGGAGCATTGTGGAGTGAATGTCACGTATGGGCAGAAAGGATGTAATGATTTACCTCTCCTGGTACATCCATGGTCACAAAGCAGAAAGGACACTGTCAAGATGAATATGTCAAGCAAGAAGAGATGAGCCTGAGACAAATTCTTCACAGGATTTTTTCACTGCGTCTTGTTAGCCGCAGCAGGATCCCTGCAAATATCTCTGTATTTCGCTGGTTGGAGTCGCCTGCACTGCAAGGTTTGACAAACTGAAAGACGATTATCAGAGTGAAATGCTATATGTTCACTGTATGGATCAACGGAGAGTTGATTGTGTCGCCTAACCGTGTTTGCCCCTATGGGGTAAATCCTACCCCCTCATGTGCCTGCATTGCTCGTGCCTGTGCATTTGCTTAAACGTGTCTTTTGTCATGAATACCTTTGACATTAACTTTATTATAGCATTATTCTCTGTGTAAATTCCAAGCAACACTTTCACCACTTGAGCCACTTGACTGTTTCCTCACTCACAGGCTACGTTCACATTTCACAGCTTAACGCTCAATTACGATTATTTCCCCAGATATGATCTTTCTGCCTATACTGTTCTTATTCATGCTTGAAGTGACACATATCTGTGTGAACAGATCTCTGCCCTGAAATGCCTCACATGCAGCCGCTAACATGGTTAGTGGTTGCATGACATGCACATTGGAACTACTACAAAAAGCATCACATTTGTGATACAGGCACTGAAATGCAAGCTTAATCTCTCAAATGATTGCCATATTCTGCATAATAATTAGCCACGTGCGTCTGCTTGGCAAAGTAGCCTATGTGGTGTATTTTTGAAGATCTTGACCTTCGGAGCAATGGGTGTTTAGGAGTGGTGGGGCCGTGATGTGGAGGGTTTAATGGAGGAACAGTTCCTCTATACGTTAGGATGTCCAGGACTTCATTCCATTCATCCGGTACATCTCTGTCAGTGCCTTTCGTCAACGCTGTCTCAGCATGCTGTCCCGATTATGAAGCATCTGCAGTTGGGCTCTAATGACTGATGACTGGAGCAGGCTACCACAGCCTTCTGTAGTTTGGATGGACCACTCCAGCACTGTTTGGTGTGCTATCTGCGCCTACACAGTAAAGTATGACGTAAAACCATGGTTGTATGGAAAAACACACATGAATTCCAATATCACCGTTCCCGCGTTGGTTGCATGGCTAGTGATCAGATATGTATCGGATTTAGGACCACATATAAAAGTGGCTCAGATCTTATTGGAAAATATCTTATTTCTGTGTCCACACTGCTCTGAAGAAATCAGATCTGCACCATTTGAGAGCAAAAAAAAGGGATTTGGGCCACATTTGCTTGTAATGTAAACGTAGCCATACTTAATCTCTGTACATGTTTACACACAGCAAGCCGTGTCAGTCCAAGTGTGGCTCACTGGCAATGCAGGCCAAGCACTCACTGAGATTACTCTAGTATTGTGAAGTATATGAAAATACAGTATCCTTAGATAATTTTGTAATACATAAAATAACATGTTGCAGTTCTGTATTTTGCATGTTCTATCCATACACTAGGAAATTTGTAACCTCAGTGTATCACTCATATGAGTCTTTACAATATGAAAGTCTTCCAGTTGTTTGTATCCTGTAGGTTTATATGTCATAGTAATAATAATAATAATAATCTGCACAGACGCACATGTTGATGTTTATTATCTCAACTTTTTACATTTAGGTGGACCTTTAATTTTAAAAAAGCTGTAAATTACTAACTAACTAATATATGTATACATTTTGCTTTCTTTACTGCACTCTACTTACTTTATTTCATGGGTCAGATTGAAGATATGCAGAATACACAGTAAGATGTGCCTTTATAATGTGGAGCCATGGTTAACATTGAGGGATCCTCTGAGGGAGAACCTAATGTTTTTAATCGTGGCCTGCTTTTTGGGGCAAATTTGTTCCCTTCTTAATTTCCACCAGAATCACACACATAACATTTAGACCATGATGTCAGAGGATAGAATGTAATTGAAAAATTAAATATGAAAGAAAATGTGTCTTTTGTTGTTGTTTTTTGAAGATTTTTTAAAGTATAAAGTAAATGAAAGCTGACTCATCAGTGAACCAAACCCATAAATTCATTGAGTAACTAATATGCTCTGTTTGTATATAAGCATAGTTTTAACAGGTCAGTTAACATCCTGTCTCAGTCATTACCTGTTTACTAAGACATCATTTTACGCCTCTGTCAAGACTTTGGTGTGTGTGTGTGTGTGTGTGTGTGTGTGTGTGTGTGTGTGACGGAGACAAATGTGAGCAGAAAATACTTGTTTTGGCATCTTCAGCCAGTCATAATCCTCACATGCTGCTCAAACACAGAAGACAGGCGTCATTGTTGCCTCAGTGCTCCATGACACAAAGTCAGGAAGTAGATAAATGCCGTTGTCTGGAAGCTCCATGCCTCTTTCATAACACTTATCAGAAGGAAACACTCTAAGACTCTCCCACATGGGTCTTCTAGCAGCACTAAAGTATCCATATTCTAGTCTGATGATACTATACTGATGTTTTTAGTAATTAATCAGCCTTACTAGTGACAGAACTGAGACACGGCTATTTTCTTAGCAACATTACTGTTGATATAAACATTTAAACCTGACTTTGCCAGAGAATGTAACATCAGTAAACATGCAAGGTCATTACTGAAAAAGAGGATGTTCATTTCCCTCCCAGGCTTAGTCACAATACTCTCGTCATTTCCTCCTCTCGTCTGAGGAATCTAAAGTGTCTTGAGCGTAGTGTGCATGGCACAGAGTTAAACAAGGGAGGGGTGAAAAATGAGAATGCTACAGCTGGCTGAGTGCAAAATACCATGGGCGTGGTTTTTTAATTCTTTCCTTATGCACTCTGAGGGTCTCTGGATCACAGAAAAGGCAGTAAAAAGCAGCCGTAAGTGAAGCCTTGTGACCACCTAAAGGGCAGCCAAAACAGTTTAAGGTGACCAGAGAAACTCTTTTCAACATGGCAACTGTCAGCAATGGGGAGAATTTGATGGAGAGTCCAGACGACCCAAACATAAAGGAGGAACCGAGGGATCCTGCCATCGAGACGTCCGGCACGCTGCTCCCACAAGATGTGTTATGTGACTCCTGCATGGACGGCCCCAGCAGGGCCCTAAAATCTTGCCTGACCTGTCTGGTGTCTTACTGTGAGGCCCATCTCAGGCCCCATCTGGAGAACATTAAATTTCAAAACCACCGTCTGGTGGATCCCCTCCACGACATCGACTGTCGGACTTGTGAGGTTCATCAGCTTCCTCTCGAACGCTTCTGTCTGATGGACGGCTGCTGTGTGTGCTTGGACTGTGAGAAGCAGGAGCACGAAGGGCACACGACTGCATCTGTGGGGGAGGCACGCGCACAGATTGAGGTCTTGATAACACAGCATAACACACAGAACTTTTTTGATTTTGTTGTTACAGTTTCCTCATATCAAGCAAAACAGAAATGTATTTATGTAGGACATGTCAGTTTTAGTGTTGGATCTTTGCAGCATGTGTTACAGTTGTGTTTGTGATGATTATTTGTGCTGTAGATTGAGCTGCAGAAGAAACAAGATGAGATCGGTCGGCGTGCCTCAGCAGCTGAGAAAGCAATTGGAAAGCTACAGAGCAACAATGGCTTAATTAAAGTATGTTACATGGGCAACTATTACACCATAACAGAACACTGTACCTTAATTCAATGCACAATGTTCTGGTTTACATATGTTTTTGATTCTTTCCTCTCTGCCTCTTCAGTCTTCAGTACAGGAGGTTTGTGTTATCATTGAAGAACAATTCGCCAGGCTGCAGACAACCGTCCAGGAGGCCAGAAAGGGGGCGTTGAAGGTGCTGGAGGGAGAACAGAGACAGGCCCTGAAACAGGCGGAGGGCATCCAGGCACATCTGGAGCAGAGGAGAACAGAGCTGATGAAAACTTCGGCTCAAGTGAACAAACTGTCCAGGAGCAAGTCTGATATCGACTTCCTGCAGGTATAAAATATATGTAATATTCAAGATAATAATAAATAAAGTCTCATGTCTCATATGATCTGGGATTAGCACAGGATGTTCTCTTAGACAAAGAGTTTATTTTGGACGCCAGTGTGTTGACAGTGTACACAGAGCAGACATTTCATCACTTCACTTATTTCACAGAGAAAGGTTCTGGATCAGAGAAAAAAGGAGTTGCATGTTATCTAACACCTTAATTCCACATAATAATACGTGTTACTTTTGTTTTGCTTGTTCCAGGAGTATTCAGAGTGGAAGAAAGGAGTGGCAGACGTATGTCTGCCTAGCCCGTACATCAACGGCATGGATCATCTAACCTCTTATGTCCAAGTAGTAACTGATGCTACACAGGAGCTGTGTGACCTCATCCTCTCCTCCTACAAGGAAAAAATGAGCTTGATTTGTGAAAAAGGTACGTGTGTATCATACTGTATGCTTTAACTGTCATCCTCTGGCTCCTTGTGGAGAAAAGATGTGCTTTCTCCAGCATATGCATCTTGTTATGTGCTCTTTTTTGCCACGCTAGCGGCATGGCTCTAGAGATGACAGTCATCTATCTAGTGGCAAGAAATTCACACAAAGGTTTGTGCAGACATTCATCGTTCCAGACAGTTTGTCCCACTGACTTTAGTGCCCCATGACATTTCATCCAGCGCCACCATGAGGTTTTCATTTGTGGTTTTGAGTGAAACTATAAAAATAATGAATGAATTGTTATGAAATTTCCTTTTTACTGCCAAGTACCTAAACGAAACTAAAAACATTCCCAGCCTCAGCTGTGTTGTGCTGCTACTTGGCAAATGTTCATGCTGACATGCTAAACTGAGACGGTCAACACAGAGAATGTCATACCTATTTAAAGGGACATTTCACGCAAATATCAAAAATACATATTTTTCTTCTTACCTGTAGTGCTGCGTATCTATCTGTATGGTTTTGGTGTGAGTTGCCGAGTGTTGGAGATACCAGCCATGGAGATGTCTGCCTTCTCTGCAATTTAATGGAACAAGATGGCACTCCGCATGCAGTGTTTAATACACAAAAAAGTCAACAGCTATCCACAGACCTCGTTGTGATCAGATTCATGTATGAACTATTTTATTTCCACTGAACTACACCCACTAACTGTGTCACGGCACAGAAGGAAGCATGCAGCTACTGCTAGCTCAACTAGCACCACTGAGCTAGCTGACAGTACAGCTCAGCCAAGGAGGACGCCATTATTGTTCACATCTCATAATGTCTCAAGCACATGCCTCTCGTCTGCTACCTTCTGTACAGTGAAATGGTTGGTGGGTGCTATTTGGTAGAAAGAAAATAGTTCCTACATGAAACTGCTCACAACAAGGTCTGTGGATTATCTTGCGTAACTGGGTCAGACATTGCTGTTGACTTTTTTAAAGGTACTTTTTTAGCGCTTTGAGCACCACAAGCTGGTGCCATCTAGTTCCATTATATTCCAGAGAAGACAGACAGCTCTACGGCTGCTATCTCCAACACTTAGCAGCTCATATCAAAATAATCGAGACTGATAAATAGCACTACAGGTAAGAGGAAAAACATGTACGTTTGATTTTGGGATGAACGTCCCTTTAATATCAGCACATTGGCACCACTGCACAGTCTCACAAAGCTGCTAGCATGGCTATAGGCTCTTGTTATTCATTTTTTAAACTCTTTATTTATCAGATATTCAGTACATTGTAGAAATGCTTTCATGTCTTACCAAAATATTGAGCAATCTCTCTGCAAAATGATAAACTAGGCCATTGTCTAAACCTATTGTTGATCTTATTGATAATTTTTGTGGTTTTTGCTATTCATTCATTCTTTGGATGAACTGTACAGCACTTTGGTCAACCGAGGTTGTTTTTAAATGTGCTATATAAATAAATTTTGACTTGATTTGACTTGACTAGGCAAATCCCAGATGCAAGAATCTCGGCATTCATCCCTGCCTGATCCTGAGACACGAGAGGAGTTTGTGAGATGTAAATACACTTTTCAATATATTATAATCTGTATTTCCTGTTTGTCGCATCATCCCTTTTCATTTGACAAATGACATTTCCCCTTTATCATAGATACAAGGAGTTTGACCTTTGACCCGGACACCACCCATCATTTCCTACGTGTAACTGACGACAACAGAAAGCTGACCAACACTAGCCCCTGGCAACACAGCTACCCAGACCACCCCAGTCGCTTTGAATATTGGCGTCAGGCGATGACCTCAGACAGCCTTTACCAGGGAAGGCACTACATCGAAGCAGAGCTGAGTGGGGAGGGCGCGCACGTCGGAGTCACGTACAAGAGCATCGATCGTAAGGGAGAGCAAAACACCAGCTGCATCACTGGGAACGACTTTTCCTGGTGCATGGGAAGGAACAGCCGGGGTTTCTTTGCCTGGCACGCTGATGTGGAGACGCCCTTGGATGTGTCTGATATCACAAGAATTGGCTTATATGTGGACTTTCACAGAGGCTCTGTGTGTTTCTATGATGTAACTGGTCCTATGAAGCTGCTTCATAAGTACAAGGCTGATTTCATAGAGCCCTTATATGTGACAGCCTGGCTGTCAAAGAAAGACAATGTTGTTTCTCTGGTTAATGCAAAATGACACAACGTTTATTGAGGTTATGTAATGAGGTATATTTAAAGTCAAAGTACATATGCAGGATTTTTCTCACGTACATGTCACTGAAGGGTAAATTGACCACCATCTCGTGGTAACTGTGCAACATGAATGTAAGAAACATGCGCAGCAGTAGGAGTGTTAGGATTTTTACTGTAGTTTTATTGCAGCTTTATTGCTCTTGAGTGTGATATGAATGTGGAATAAAGTACACAGTTTTATGCCCACAAATGTTTTATTTGTCTTACAGATCCATTATAAAGCTATAAGAGGATTTATTGTCTATGAAGGGTCTGTAAAATCATCAAGTTAATAACTCTGATAATCATTAACATTCGTAAAGTTCACTTCAGTCAACTTCAGGCATTAAAATCTGTTTCGTTCTCATCATAAACTGGATTTACAAAGTGCACACCTGTCTGAGTCATGGAGATTGAACGATTTGTTTCAGTCCCATACACACCGGGAATATCAGGCAGCATGTTGGGCCTGTCAAAAATAGGATTATCAAAGCCGTGGTCAAGAGGCCCACCGAGTTCTCCAACATCGCTTCTTCGCCTGAGGCTTCTCAGAGATGGCAGCGATAATGGCAGCGATGATGGCATGCGAAGAACTCCCTTTTGAATCAGCACAACCATGATAGTGATGAGTGTAATCAAAATCAAAACTCCAAACACTATTCCGACCCACATCCCAACAGTGCCTCCAGGCGGACCAGTGCTGCCCCCAGTGGAGGCTTGAAATTCAGCCTCAGTGATTCCCAGGTTGGAGCCATGAGAACTGACATCCTTCAGTATGTCCTTGGCCAGACCCTCCGACTGTATTCCCTTCTCTCCATCCACGATAACCACCTGGATCTCAGGTGAGGCACCAAAAGGGACGATCCCCATCAACCGCTGTGACTTGAAGACTTTAGACATGCCAAGCTGAAGGGATTTGTACTGTGGCAGGGTGAGGAATAGGTGATGGATTCGTTGCCTGTAAGTCTCCAGGTTGAAACCAGCAGCATAGCGGATTGTGACAATGGCACCGCACACATCACAGCAGTGTCCCACAGGGAGGAGAGGCTTCTTACAGCTCAGAGAGGCACACGTTACAGTGCTACAGATCTGCTGATGGTTTGCAGAATTCCCACAGTCACAGCCAGTAGGATCCCCACACTCTGGGTTCCCAACAGTGACGGCAGAGGATCCGTGAAACTGCAGCTGACCTGAGCGTGAGCTGAGGTACTGGGAGAACTCAGAATTGCCCTTAAACTTCTTCCCCAGCACAGACACAGATTTGACAGGAATGCTAGACTGATGTGAGCTGGTGTCCACCCTGAAAGAGGAGTGTTCTTTAAAAACCACATCATCATACTGGCAAGGGACACTCTCGTCGTGGACTGAGAACAAGAAGTTTCCTCTCTGCAGGTCATCCAGACTTGCAGCTGCCTGCCAGAGTGCTGGGTTAAACCACTGAAGAGACTCTGAATCTTTGAACTGGGTCACGACACCTGCTCCGCAGCCTGGATCTTGTCCACTCACAACATAAAATCCAGCTCCTGAATTGAGGATGAACTCTCCATCAGTTGGCAGCCACATCTCCTGCACAGCATGCATGTTGTTCACAAACACTGACACTTTCCTCTGGGCCGGAAACTGAACTCTGTCATTGCCACAGGGAACAGCTCCTTTGTCCCAGTTGGTCTTATTCTCATAGTTGGTGTCAGGAATCCACTGTTTGTGCAGGGCATCTGCTGCCCCAACAAGACAGAAGAAGAGAAGGAGCATGTCTGGTGCTTTGGGCATCCTGAATGTTTGTGATGGACTGACAGAACATTAGGTGACCTTTGTTTCCAACCTTGTGACTAACACATGAGTGCACACAGCTCACCAGTAAAGTTGATGAGCTCTGCATCACATCAGTCAGCTCAAGCAGGTGACCTGTAAAAGATTTACATTTTCTGCAACAACCAACCTGCTGTACCTGTTTTTTCTCTCCACCCCCCCCCCCTTTTTTTTTTTTTTTTTTTTTTTACTTTGTCTGTCACCAGAATATCTTGAACCAGCATGTGTGGATTGTAAAACAATAGGCCCCAGGGCACAGATATGCAGAGGGCCCCGCCAGCTCTCTTTTTTTTCTGTTTTGCACCTCTTTGTGAATCTCTTTGAAATCATTTTGTGTCTTCTGGTTGTTTTGCATCTGCCTGTGGTGATTTTGTGTCTCCTTGTGGTTGGTTTATGTTTCTTTGTACCCATTTTTCGGCTCATTGAGGTCATTTTTTGTCTATTCGTAGTCATTTTGTGTCTCTTTGATGTCGTTTCATGTCTCTTTCAAGTCATTTTGTATCTTTTTTGGTTGTTGTGTGTCTCCTTGTTGTCATTTTGGGTCTCCTGGTGGTTGTTTTGTTACTTCGTGATAATTTTGTGTTTTTTAGGTAGTGTTTGCCCTGTTTATAGTAAATTTGTGTCACTTGGCAGCTCCCTTGCATCTCTTTGTCGTTTTTTTGTGTGTCTTTTAGGTCACTTTGAGTCTCTTGCTGGTCAGCACATGTTAATTTGAGTGACATTTTTCAGGTGGCACACTTGGGGCCCATGGGACTGTGCGTGGTAGGCCTATTCAGTAATTCATCCAAATATGCAAACTAATGAAATTACAGATATAAAAATGAATTTAACAACTTTAAAAATTCCTTTAAGACCTTTAGGACCAATTTTATTAATTTAATTAGTGTTTATGAAATGTGTTGCCCCACCTATTGTTTTTGTAAAAGCTTCATAGAATTAGGAAGCGAACTGCTTAGCTGTATTTCTAAGGTATGTCTTGGGTTTTTAAATGTGATGAGTCAGCAGCGTTGCACTCAGCAAATAAAGGCCTAATCCTGCTTTCTGGCACAGGTACCAGGATTATGCATGACAAGATAAAAACATACACACGCCCTCACTGAACCTGGCTGTCCCCTGAGGCTGTGTCTCACCTGTGCCACAGTTGCATGTTATTAGAGATAAGCAGTGTGTTTATATGGAATAGCAATAAAATGCGTGGCATGACGGGAATTGACGTGGACATGACGATAGGAGCGGCACTTGAAGGTGTTGGATGAGCCCTGTGGCCGCGGGGCAAGACGTGAGAGTAATTAATCAGATGAAACTAATTACACCTGTCTCTTTGTCCAATTACTGCACCTTGAGGTGCGCGAGCTGTATGTCCTGCAGAAAGAGGAACGCATGTCCACTTAATGATTTCAAACTCTCTGTATTTAAACTACCTATACAGTTCATCTTTACACACGATAAAGACAGGTCCAACGCTCCTGAGACTTGCCTCTGATTTTTGTTTTGTGACGTACAATCTCCGTTTGGTCGCAACACCATGAAAACTATCGCTGAACAGCTGTTCCGGACCCGCATCAAACATTTCTCGAGGTAAACTTGTGGTGATGCATTTACAATGAGGAGGATTTTTGTTACACTTTTTTTTAAAATCAACTTTGCTCTTTGCTACCATTTAAGACTGCAGAGCTTTATTACTTAAACTACAGTGTTAAAGGGACAGTTCACCATAAAAGCATATTTTACATATAGTACATATTTTTACTCTTGCTTGTAGTGCTATTTATCAGTCTGAATTATTTTGGTGTGAGTTGCCCAGTGTTGCAGATATCGGCCATAGCGATGTCTGCCTTCTCTTGGTTATAATGGAACTAGATGGCACTTGGCTTGTGGTGCTCAAAGCGTCCAAAAAAATACATTTGAAAAACTCAACAGCAGTGTCTCTTTACAGAAATCATGATCAGTCATTGCTGTTGTGAGCAGTTTCATGTAGGAACTGTGTCTGCGCCATTTCAGTGCACCACTGATGCACCACTTAACAGGTAGTGGTAAAGGCCAGGAATGTTGATTAAATGGAGCGTAATCGGCCAGCCAGCAGCAGCAACTACTTAACTGTCAGCTGACAAAACAAACAACAATGTTGGTCTACAGGGCAGAAGTCATGGTAGCTTTCCTAGACAAATGATGCGCAGTGATATGGTTGGTGGGTGTAGTTCGGTCGAAAGAAAATAGTTCCTACATGAAACTGCCCACAACAAGGTCTGTCTACATTATCTTGAGTAACTGGGTCATGATTTCAATGGGAGTAGTAGGAAACATCTTGTGCCCTGAGATGAACTCGCATTTTCATGGATTCTGGAGTTTTTTTTTTAATGAGGGAGAGAGTGGATGCAATTTCAAGAAATTTTCAATAGATAATTGAATTGTGTGCATGTGTACTTATTATGTTGAAACAGACAGACTGCTGTCTATGTATGGTAACACTCCAGTGAGTTTTTTTGAGACCTTCTCTACGCCCACAATATCATGGGATTATTGCTATTACTCTGAGACACACTTTGACTTGTATACTTTGTAGAAAAAGGCGAAATGATATTGTGGAGGCCCATCCGTCCAACATTGAGACAGCAGCTGAGATGGACAACATCCAACATTTGACCAGCCCTTCCTCTGGTGTGGCGGCTGTTAGCGACAGCGTTCACCATGTGGAGGCAATGATGGAGAGGGCCCACCATGGTGGAGGATGGCTCCTGTCTGGCATCATCTGCATCAACATCCTGATCCTGGGCTGTGCTCTAGTCAGTGGCAGCGCCTTCAACAGCGTGGCCATTACTGCTGTGCACAGGCAAATCTTCCTCATCATTCTCCTCCTCCTCACGATGCTGTGGATGCTGTTTTACACAGTCTTCACCTCCAAAAAGGATCAAGCAATCTCGTTCAAAGACAGCCACGCAGGGCCTGTGTGGCTCCAAGGTGAGTACCTCTGACTTGCTTGGTCTTTGTTTTCGATAAGTTATTTCAAGGCTTAATCACTTAAATGTTTGCATTTCAGCTGGACTTCTGCTGTTTGGGCTTCTCAGTCTCCTCATGGACGTCTTCAAGATAGCCAACTATGTGGGCTACCTTCACTGTGATTCTGCTGTTAAAGTCGCTTTTCCCGTCGTCCAAGCTGTATTCCTGTTTGTCCAGGTTATTGCATTTCAAGAACAAGCACATGCAGCCTTACTTACACTTTCAATTATTGTGAAACTTATCAAAACCCGTTTGTTTTAGACATACTTCCTCTGGGTTCATGCAAAGGACTGTGTGCAGCTACACACAAATTTTACAAGGTAAGTTATTTTCTTTACTCACCAGAGAACCGACCTTCGATCTTGCATGACACTCACCTTTCCCTTCTTCCAGGTGTGGGCTTACTGTGACGCTTTCAACTAACCTTGTGGTGTGGATGGCTGCTGTGACCGAGGAATCGATTCACCAAACTGAGATTCCTGATCTAAATGTCAGTGTCTCACACAAGATGTACAGAGGTATTAAAGCATACTTTATTTAACACTAGTCAGATCCATTCATGGTGTCATACGGAGGAACAATAACTGAAATCTTTCCATTTCAGACAGCTATGGTGGTAAAAAGTGTAAATGCAGTCACTCAGCATGTGACACCTTCAAAGAGGCCTTCTACTACCTGTACCCCTTCAACATAGAGTACAGTCTCTTTGCTTCAGCTATGGCCTATGTCATGTGGAAAAATGTTGGTCGTTTGGTGGACGATCACAGTCACCACAGCATTAAGTTCCGTCCAAAGGATTTGTGTTTAGGACCCGTAATGGGAATACTCCTGGTGGTGGCAGGCCTTGTAACATTCATATTGTATGAGGTGGATGTACTGCAAGAGGACGGGAAGAATAGAAACAGGGCCCTGCTGATTCATTTCATCATGAATATAGTGATAGTGAGCCTGATGTGTGTGTCCACTGTAATCGGTTGCATCATCTACCGGCTGGACCACAGGGAGCACACGTTGAAGGAAAGCCCCTCTCACAGCCTGGATGTGGGGCTGCTGGTGGGAGCCTCCATGGGACAGTTTATCATCAGCTATTTTACCATCGTGGCCGTGGTGGCGACGGGAGCCAGAGGGTACCTGAACGCCCTGAACCTGTCCTGGGCCGTGCTGACGGTGCTCCAGCTCGGCCTGCAGAACTACTTCATCATCGAGGGCCTCCATCGGGAGCCCTTCCACGTGATGCAGGAAGCGGCTCTGCACACAAACGCTCACGCCCTCCAGGAACACTCAGACATGGATATTGTTGAGGAGAAAAGTAAATCCAGCTATGCCCTGACAAGCCTTGATAAGCCAAGTTGGAAGAGAAGAGTACTGAAGGAAGTCTGTGCCTTTCTTCTGTTTGCTAACATTATTGTGAGTTGTATTTATGGTTCTATTCTTTTATTCTCCATTGTTAAATATAATTGCAACAAACTGATGCTTAATGTGACCTACTTGTTCTCTCTCTGTATTGACAGCTGTGGATCATGCCCGCCTTTGGTGCTCGTCCCCAGTTCGATCATCACATCGAGATAAGGTTCTACAAATTCGCAATGTGGGCAGCCATCGTGAATATTGGACTTCCTTTTGGAATCTTCTACCGCATGCACTCTGTTGCCAGCCTGTTTGAGGTGTACTTAATTACTTAGACTTATTTTTGAGTATGGAGAGAAACTTTGTAATGGTCGATTTTATTTATTAATTCATACATGCTAGTCCTCTGGTCTAAGACAGTTCAAAAATATTAGTAAACATGAACAACTCTGTCCCATTTTTTTTTTTTTTTTTTTTTAAACTGGAGAGCTAAAACTCAAATTTGTGATGTCATAGAGTGTGAAGTCTGGAACTGCTCCATAGACGATAAAGGGAGAAAACTGCTCTAGGGGAGCTCCAGGGGAGTGTTCTGAGTAAATGGGTACATTTTCCGTTTCAGAAGTGAGAACACAACAGGATAATAAAGCTAATTTGAGTATAAAGAAGACAATCAAATATTCTGTGGATCCACAAAATCAGTCTAGAGCAGCTCCAGATTTTACACCCTATGACATCACAAGTTTGAGACACTCTGGTTTCTGGCTTTGGGAGAGAGTAGCTCATGTTCACAAATACTGATTGAACTTTCATAGGCCATGAAATTAACTTTGGAATTCTTAATTTATGTGGTGTTCATCTTTTAAATGTTTAATTGAACTTGATATAAATAATAAATTTTAACTTAAAAGAAAAAGGAAATGCTGTGTATTACTTTAAATTCCCACGTATTCATTTTTATCAAGTAAATTGTGTGTTTATTGAGGTGCTGAACACTTAAGGTAATTTCATATACTTGTGTGCTTATTTGAGATCATGAAATTTCATCGGTCATCAAACTAATTAGTCAATTAAGTAATGGAAAGTAATTTTCTTTAAATGGGGGGCTGGAGCCAATTCCAATTGACGTTGGGCGAGATGCGGGTACATGTTGGACAGGTCGCCAGACTATCACAGGGCTGACATATAGAGACAGGCAACCATTCATGGTCACATTCACACCTATGGGCAATTGAGAGCCCCCAACTGACCTAACCTGCATGTTGCTGGACTGTTTGAGGAAGCTGGAGAAAATGAAGAAAACCCACACTGACATGGGGAGAAACTCCAAACGGAAGGGCCCCAGCAGGCCGGTAGGTTCAAAGCCGAAACCTAATGGTGCAAACCAATGCACCCTCTTGCAACCCCTCTGGAATCCCATATTGATGATCAACCATTACAAAAAATAATAGTATTTTTTTTTTTTTTTTTTTTAAAAAAAGCACATAAGCAAATTGGATGCTCACAAAAATAAAATAAAAAAGGTATTTGTATACCACTGCAATAAAGGTTTTATGTTTTTAATTGTGTCACTATAACTGTGCTCCTTGCCTGCTGCCTGCTGCAGGGGGACATAGTGCCATCTAGTGATCATGGTGTAAGGGGCAGCTTTCTCTTTAAATGACACGTAGCCAAGCTACATAGAGGAGTTGGCAAAGTAAAATACCTCCCAGTAACATATGCAGTGGATACTGATAATACATTTTGATTGATCTTGACTTATAGTAACATCCAGGATCCACACAGGTATTACAGTTTGGTATATCTAATTCATTTTTATTTTTAGGGACCGAGCCCTAAGGCAGAGGACTGCTCATTTTTATTTCATTTTTAATTTTTGTTTCAATTAAATTTCGTTTCAGTTAGTTTTTTTAAAATAAATTATAATATGGGACTTATTTGTCTAGGACTGTTTTTTTCTAATGTCTAGTTTTTATTTAAGTTAACTAAAATGTTTTTTACACCTAATTTTAGTTTTTATTTAGTTAACTATAACTTTATCTACATGCTGCACGAAGACTAACTCATGACACTTTGCACATATGTTGCTTGAAAGAGTTTTAGAGTTCAGTAATGCAACCAATACAGAATTCACAGATGCATATCAATATATATTTTCAGGATAATTTACGTAAAATACAATTTTCAAACATCAAGCATTGTAAGCATAGCCAGCCAGATCCAAACTTTAACCTGGTCATAAACACAAAAACATACAATCTGTAGTATTGTCTCCAAAATCCTGTAAAGTTACACTGTCACGTAAACTACAACCATAATAACAGACAACTCATAAAGAGTGCATGTGAAAGCATTGGCAAGTACGACAAATAATGTGAAACACCAATATTGTGCCGTCCAGGATAATGTTACAAGCCTCTGTTGGATAGCATCACATCTTCTATAACAAGTCTGGCTGCCAAGTCTAACAGTATTTCCTCGCTTCACTTCGATGCCGTCAAGGAAGGAGCCTCGGCCTTCAGGAAACATTTCACACATTCTCTGGTCTTGATGTTGATAATTCTATCATCTCCCATCTTAATCCGAGAGGTATCTCTACCTCACCTGTCTGAATGACTCTCCTGCCCAAGTCGGTGGTGTACGCATTGTGATGGTTACAGAGGCAAGTTAAACACAGTGAGGTTTACCGGGAAACCAGCAGATACTGAAGGGAGGAGGAACACCGGAACTGAACGGTTCCATTTTCCTGCCTACATCCTCTGAATCTCAAAAAGGCGAACATCAGTGTCATACCAGATAGGAGGGTCCACGTTGCTGTAAAAACAGAGTAAGATGTTAGTAAGTGCGGAGAGACGACTGTTTGCATAATCCTCAGCTCTCTCGTGGCTGACTCACCGCAAATACACGACACCCCACATGTAGGTGCGAAACCACATGGCCGTGCCTGCGTTGGCCTGATACTTTCGGATGAGGATGGGGTGAGGAACTGGCAGCAGGCCCACTAATGTGCCGTGCTGGAGAAACTTCAAGATCTCTGATTCATCTGTCAAACCCCTGCAGTGAAATATTTGGTGATATATCAGAGGAATCACAGCCAATATATGACTTTATATGCTGAGCAAAAAACGAATACATACTTGTCGATGCAGATCTTCTCCACCTGAGGGACTAGCACTTGTAGAAGTCGCATGATAGTCTGAAGGGGTAGTTTACACTTCCAGGAGAGGACCTGGGACAGAAAATCCACATCAGTTACACATTCTGCCAACATAAGAGAGGCTTAGGGTAAAAGACGCTACTGACCCAGTCTGGTGTAGGAGCCCAAAACGATGTTGAAGACGCACTTGACAAACGTCTTCTTTCCATCTCTGCTTCAGTGTAAAAAACATCCTGATAATGTGAAGAAATAAAGTTACTAACATGCATATGGTTTTATGCAAATACACACACTCAACCACACACACTTACTTCATTGTCTCGGCCTGAGTTTGACTCTGTGTCGCTGGTCCCGGCGACTGCGCTTTGGTCTGAGTGGACTGTGTGTGAAGGGTCTGTCTTTGGAACCGACACCATGGTGCCATCCTCTGACACCTGGGACTTCTCAGTCAGTTTATCGATACCTGCAGGAAGCCATGAATCACAGGAAACCAGTCACTTGAAGGACAGGTCTGCTGATGGTCTGTTTTTCGTAATGTCAACAAATCCCATGAACAGACCATAAACAAGAATAGAATTATCCTAGTTACAAGTATTGTCAACTGATATGGCTTATTCCTCTGTACCATAGAGCTCAATTTTTGTCCATAAAAATAATGATAATTTGACGCCTTGGATTTTGGATATACTAATATTGCGAGTGTTGCCTTTTTTTCTGGTTTAAAAGACTGCATTACAGTGATGTGTTTTAATTTTTCTGAACTCCCTAGACTGTTCTAGCTGTTCTCATTATTTGCCTTTATCCATTTAGTCATTATACCACCATTACTGATGAATATTTATCAAAAAATGCACCAGTAATCATGCCTAAAATATTGCAGTAACATTAATATCAAGGTATTTGGTGAAAAAAATCCTGATATTTGATTCGCTCCATATCACCCTGCCCTATTCTGTCTGCTCTGTCTTTATTTGTAAGATTTTTTTCGGCATTTTAGCTCTGACACTTTTACAGTGAAAAGGAAGACAGGAAACAGGGGAAGAGAGGGGCGTATGACATGCAACGTAGGTCCCCGGCTGGGTTTGAACTGGTGATGTTTCAGTTATGTGGCATGCGCTGTAGCCAATCAGTGCTCCAATTCTAAATATACTTTCTTGCTGCTCTACATAGCCACTGATGCAACAAATACACAACTGAAAATAGTCCCTCAGAAATACAATTTTTTTCTTTAATTTAATTTAATTTAATTTATTTTAATTTAATTTAATTTAATTGTTGGTTATTTTATTTTATTTTATTTTATTTCATTTTATTCTATTTTATTTATTTATTTATTTATTTATTTATTTATCTATGTGTTCGGTAGAAAACAATAAGTTTGGGGTCAACAAATAGATGTCAAAAAGTTGATGGACTAATGCACTGCTGTTTTTGGTTTGAAATATAAAATAACCAGTTTTTGCCTTTGAAATTATTTTTTCACAAACTTGCCTTTTTTGAGAAAGTAACCCACTGGTTCACTTTACCTTTATTAACCTATGGTATATTCCAAAAAATATTAATAAAACAAATATGATCATTCTGAATTATTAAACACTCATTTCTCTTAGTTGTAGTTCTCGTCAGGTGCTTAATGTATTCTATGCTAACATGTAAGTTTGTGCACGTGACTGACATCCACTGCACAGCCAACAGATGGTGGTAATTTTATAAATAGTACAGTAACCAGTTGACCAATGAGCCAGTTCAACAATCAGTAACAACTAAGCAGCACACAGAGTCAGTACCTGGAATAGCGACCAGACTGGCCTTCAGTGTACCAGGCTCTGCCGGCACAGCAGGATGAGAGCCCTCCATGGATACAGTCTCCTGCGAGCTTGTGCGGGAAATGACGTCTGGAGACTTCCTCTTCCTCTGCAAAGCCTTCTGGATGGAAGCGGGATCGGAGGGCAGGTTGGCCAACTGGTGGAAAACGTTGCGTTTGCGGATGATGGCGTACACCAAGTTGCAGTTTCCTGGAGGTGAGAGAAAGCAGGACAGATGCATTTTATGAACAGATGTGTTCCTTAAAATATCTTGACACAAAAATTTTAAAAAGGGAAGCTGTTGACATACATACAAACCTAGACGTCTGTTACATGTCAGCTTTCTCTTACCGTCAAACTGATACTGGATAATATTGTTGAAAGCCTCGAGAAGGAAGAACACAAGGTGATGGTTCTGGGCTGCAGAGAACAGGAACCAGCTGGTGGAGAAGGCCTCCAGCAGGTGGAGCAGTTTATTGGCTGCCACCATGGACAGGCTCTTCAGATAGGGAGACACTGCAGAAAAAAAGCAAAGTTAAGAAGATGATTATGCAACAGTAACAGACATTTTTATTTGATTAAGTGGCATCTATTTCTAATGAGATATTAAAACTTTAAATTAGTTGATGTTGGAAATAAAGTGTGTCGGACAGATGGCGCCAAAGCAATTCACCATTTACAACAATAGTGAGTAGGCAGTCGAACAGAGGCTGGAGACGCTGGTGGCCTGTGGTGATAATCTTGTGAAACACCTACAAAACAAACACAGTGACAGCTGTGAGCATTAACGGTGTCTCAATTTGGCGGCAATAAAGAACATTTCCGATGATGTAACACGGTAAACACTCACCACTATGAGCAGGTCAGCATGAGTCCCTGTAAACACCGGGATGTCCATAGGCACATGGACGGTGTAGGGCTTATTCAAGCGCACGCCAAAGTTCCTCTCACCACTCAGCAGTAGCAAAATGAACACACCGATGTGCATGAGTCCAACACGGGCTGCAGCCACAAAACACATCAGAGGTTAATAAACATAAATACCTGTAGAGTTTTGTTAGGTGCAAGGACAACACTGGGATGAGACTCACACTGATCAGCCCGTGCATCATTCAGATAGAAGAGTATAGGAACCAGAATATCCAGCACGTCACTACTCTTCAGGACAAAAAACAGGAACTTCTGTCAAGGGAACACAAAGGAGATTTTGTTGAATAAAAGCACAGACTCTTAATAAAAGACAGTCTTCCTTCTAGTCCTTTGTTCTGACCTTGTTGAAGTCACAAAGCTTCCAGAAAAGCACCAACAGTTCCTGGTGGAACTGGATCTTCTTGGTCGAGTTAGGCAGGTACGTCTGTGTCAAAGGGTTGGTCAGCAGACGCGCGAGGCCCTTCAGCACAAAGTCAAAGTCCTGCCGATGGAGAGACAGAAAGCGTGCTTTGGACAACTCCACAGGGAAGATCTGCGTGTTTCTTATAGAAATGATAGCATACCTCCTCTCTGTGAATCCTCGACAAATAATTCACAAACAGGTTTTCAGGGCCTGTAGACTGCACAAAGATGAAGAGATTTATTAGAGTGACAGCAAACAAATGCCACACTGGACTGATTATCTTGATTTGTCTTGGTGTCGCACCTCTTGCTCCTCCATGCTGGATGGAGAGGGGGGCCGGTGGGGAACCCCTCCATCATGCTCCAACGTCACAATGAGGATCTGTACAGCCTGCTCCACCAGCTGCTCCCGGTAGTCCGAGAAGAGCAGGTGGTTGTACGGGATGCCGTAGCCCACTGGATCATAGGCACACACCACATTCAGCAGGGAGGTGAACAGAGGCAGAGCATGTCTAGGGAAAAAGACATAAAGACCATGTTAGAGAATCATGTGCAATAATTTACCAGTGCATTTTTTTTTGATGAAAACTATAATATGAATTATCCTATTTTAGTCAATACAGAAAGAATGCAGTTAGGTGCAGCAAATAAATTAAAATGCATTTGCATAATATCTACATTTATATAAAATAATATGGAAGAACAAAGACTCTCACTTAGGAAATACATCCACCCCATGGTCCACTTTTAAAGGAGCTCTATGATATCCAGAGCATATCTATGATTCAGAGGTTGTCTGCACATGGCTCTCAACATGGAGGTAGCTGCCAGCGACCAGCAGCTAACAGTGCTAACAACTCAAACAGCTCTAAACAACGGCAACAGTGCTGACAGGGCTAACAGTGTTAACAGCGGGAAACCAGAGGGTGGGTGCTATGCTTCCAGGATGAGCCGTCCTGATATCAGAAATAACCGCTGTATAAGCGTAGTGCAGAGCGCTGGCCATAAGCTAGCAGGGATACACACATCTACTTACATGCTTGTGGGATACACACATGGACTTACATGCACACATGGCCGGATCATCTTCCACGATAACGGACAGAGAAGTAATTCAGAAAGCACAGAGAGAGTGTGACTTTGTTCTCTGCTCAGGACGCCATTACACCACCATATCTTTACATAGCAAATAGTTATTTCCTGCTATATTAATGCTCTGTACTCACATAGAGCTCCTTTAAGCTTTTGTTTCGGACGTTTAATCCACATCTCACTGACAACTGAGCCACAAGCAATCTCTGTGGTAACCAAGCAAACTAAACTTGTGATGAAGACCATTAAATGTGGTTGAAACCCCTGAATAAATCCCAGTAAGTGGACCATGAACCATATTTTTTGTTGTTTTTTGTTTTATTTGGGTCAAACAACAGCTCTTGCATTCTCTGCCACGGCCAAATTCTGCTTCTATTTATTCACATTAATGTAGACTCTCCTAACCAAACTTACTTCTTGTGGCATTTAAAAAAATCACTTGACAGTTGCATGGACTCACATCATCACATAATGTTTGTCCATATATATGTAGATGTGCCAACATGATCTGCCCATTACCTATTTTCTGTGGAGCAGAAGAACGTCACCCAGGGGTTGAGCACATTGTTGTCCGATGAAGGAGGCAGGTACATGGCCTCGGAGAAGCAGGTTAGTAACAATCTCAGCAGCTCTGTCCTGAAGAGAATCCGGGGGAAAAAAAAAAAAAACAGCAAAGAGGTGCACAGAAAAAAAGTCAGCCATGTAAAAACGAGAGAGTAAAGCCTGTGTATTTTTCTTTTTTTACTGCAGATGCTGCCAAGCACAGCTGCAAGCAGCCGGCTGACTCACCTATTTAGATCATGGATGTAGTTGAGAGGGGGGGACTGTGCAAAGCCCACGCCTGCCTCCCAGATGTATTCACAGCTGTCTATAGACTGCATGTTCTCTACCGAGTCCTGGTGATCACAGAAAAATATTTATAAATCAAATTATTTTATTCAAAGTGCAGGATTAACATTTCTCCAAAGACTTGTTCAATTACATCGCAAATGATTGTCTGTAATGTTGCATTCTAAAATGACACCAGGGTGTTTTCTGATCCCTCTAGCTAGGATTTAGTTACATTTTGGCAACTAACACTACTTTGGGATAGCAAAACATCATGTAGCACAGCACAGAAAGTATTGTTAGGGTACGGTTAAGGTTAGGGAACTAAAATAACCAGGTTATGGAAAGATGCTGTCTTGGTTAAATGGAAACTGAAGGAATTGAGATGTGCATCCATCTCGACCATGGGCAGACTATATGATAATGGGCCCCTGGGCACAGATATGCAGTAGATCCCACCACCTCTTCTAAGTTGGAGCAAGACACACAGACTTTGTTTGCTGTTTAGTGTCTCTTTGTGTCAATTCTGTGTGATCATTCTGTGTCTCCCTGTGGTCTGTTTGTATGTCTTTGGGGTCATTTTGTCTCATTTTTTGTCATTTTGTATCACTTTGTGGTCATTTTGTGTCTCTACGTAGTCATTTTGTGTCTCTTTGTGGTCCATTTTTGTCTCTTTGTAATCATTTTGTGTCTCTTTGTGGTCCAAGTGTGTCTCTTTGTTGTCATTTTGTGTCTCTTTGTGGTCCATTTGTGTCTCTTTGTGGTCCTTTTGTGTCTCTTTGTGGTCATTTTGTGTCTCTTTGTGGTCCATTTGTGTCTCTTTGTGGTCCTTTTGTGTCTCTTTGTGGTCATTTTGTGTCTCTTTGTAGTCCATTTGTGTCTCTTTGTGTTCATTTTATGTGATCATTCTGTGTCTCCCTGTGGTCTGTTTGTATGTCTTTGGGGTCATTTTGTCTCATTTTTTGTCATTTTGCATCACTTTGTGGTCATTTTGTGTCTCTCCGTAGTCATTTTGTGTCTCTTTGTGGTCCATTTGTGTCTCTTTGTGGTCATTTTGTGTCTCTTTGTGGTCATTTTATGTGTCTTTGTGATCATTTTGTGTCTCTTTGTGGTCATTTTATGTCTCTTTGTGGTCATTTTGTGTCTGTTTGTAGTCCATTTGTGTCTCTTTGTGGTCATTTTGTGTCTGTAGTCCATTTGTGTCTCTTTATGGTCATTTTATGTCTCTGTGTGGTCATTTTGTGTCTCTCTGTAGTTGTTTTGTGTCTCTGTGTAGTCATTTTGTGTCTCTGTGTGGTCATTTTGTGTCTCTCTGTAGTTGTTTTGTGTCTCTGTGTAGTCATTTTGTGTCTCTTTGTGGTAATTTTGTGACTTTGTAGTCTATTTGTGTCTCTTTGTGGTCATTTTGTGTCTCTGCGTGGTCATTTTGTGCCTCTGTGGTCATTTTGTGTCTTGTAGAGGTCATTTTGAGTCTCTTTGTAGTTGCTTTGTGTCTCTCCATAGTCATTTTGAGTCTCTTTGTAGTCCATTTGTGTCTCTTTGTGGTCATTTTATGTCTCTGTGTGGTCATTTTGTGTCTCTCTGTAGTTGTTTTGTGTCTCTGTGTAGTCATTTTGTGTCTCTGTGTGGTCATTTTGTGTCTCTCTGTAGTTGTTTTGTGTCTCTGTGTAGTCATTTTGTGTCTCTTTGTGGTAATTTTGTGACTTTGTAGTCTATTTGTGTCTCTTTGTGGTCATTTTGTGTCTCTGCGTGGTCATTTTGTGCCTCTGTGGTCATTTTGTGTCTTGTAGAGGTCATTTTGAGTCTCTTTGTAGTTGCTTTGTGTCTCTCCATAGTCATTTTGAGTCTCTTTGTAGTCCATTTGTGTCTCTTTGTGGTCATTTTATGTCTCTGTGTGGTCATTTTGTGTCTCTCTGTAGTTGTTTTGTGTCTCTGTGTAGTCATTTTGTGTCTCTTTGTGGTCATTTTGTGTCTCTTTGTGGTCATTTTGTGTCTCTTTGTAGTCTATTTGTGTCTCTGTGGTCATTTTGTGTGTCTTTGTAGTCCATCTGTGTCTCTTTGTGGTCATTTTATGTCTCTGTGTGGTCATTTTGTGTCTCTTTGTAGTCCATTTGTGTCTCTCCGTAGTCATTTTGTATCTCTTTGTAGTTGTTTTGTGTTTCTTTGTAATCATCTTGAGTCTCTTTGTGGTCAGCACTTGTTGATTTGAGTGACATTTTGCAGGTGAAAACCAGCTGAGCCCCTGACACTTGGAGCCTCGGGGGGCCTGTACCTGATAGGCCTGTTCAGTAATCCATTCATGGGCTCCATCACTACAGCTTGCATAGTCTTACTTTTCTATTTACTTATGCACCTCTTCCTGCTTTAACACTATCAGTAAACAAAGCTTGTCTTAAGAAACAAACAACCACTGCTGTCATTCTTCTGAACTTCCTTTAGGAACTTTCTCTGAATGCATTCTCCACGATGCAGTTTAGGGAGGAAATGTACCAGAACTGATGGTGAAATAATGAGCATAATATGCTACATGGAAGTTATAACCCCTAAAGAATTTACTGAAAACAAGGCTGCAGACTGACATGCAACATTCCTCTCTTGCTCATTAGAGATGAGGAATTCTTCCTGGTGAGACTGACAGTGTTCTGTCAGTCATGATGTCTTACTACGTTAGTCTTCACAGGAACTAGAGAGACAGGTTAGTTGGGCAACGTTAGACCAGGAAGAAGGAAACAGTGCTCAGAAAAGTATCGTTAACAATCATAAAAGATCATGTTAAGTAATGTGTCAGCACTGAATAATTTTGATGGATGGGGAAGAGATGAGTACTCACTGGGCCTCTCCTGTGGCTGTGCACAGTGAAGTCAGGGCAGAAGAGCAGGTCGGCGATGGCCAGGAGCAGCGACTCGGCCAGTGGTCGAGCTCCGTCATCATCATCCAGCTCGTCTGTCTGGACAGGATGCACATATATGCATGTATGAGACTAGAACTAGGTGATGAATATCATTCTCAAGCATTGATTAAAATATATTGTGTAAATAGTCAAATGGAAGAGGAGCATGGCTTGGCAGAAATGGCTCAGTGATATTTCCTGCTCCACACATCCTTACAACTGGAATGAGGAAACCAATTTAGCTCATCAGCTGAGTGAAGGACACACACTCATGGAAAGAACAGGCTGATAACCTCATTGTATCACTGGAGTGAGTAAGCATCTGAGAGGCCTGACACAAACATTGTATTCTTTTGTAACTGATCGATCATATTTTTAGCAACAAACACCATCTTCTGTTCAAAGTACGACTGTGCAAATGACAGCAGCACATTTTGTTTAAAAAAAAGTGTTGTAAGAGTGATTAAAGGGTTTGTCTTGATGCTTTTTGCAAGTGCTTTTTCCTTTCCTGTGCCCACTCACCCCCGCCCGCCCAGCGCCGGGCACCGTCGACCAGAAGAATCCTCTCCAGTCCTGGTCCTCGAAGATGTAGGGAAGAATGCGGCTCAGGATGCGAGTGCAGTTCAGGATCACCTGCTTCTCCCTCTCTGTGGGGCAACCAGACTCTGCACCCTGCACCAGCTTCTCCACAGCCTGAAGAGACAAGGAACATTATCGGGTGGTGCGTGAGAGTGAGGATGGAGGCATCTGCTGAACCAGACACACTGTACTTCACACAGAAGAAGCTTGATACAGTCTTTTAATTTTAACTATGAAAATCCAATTTACAATGACAACACTGGTGCCTCTTTAAATGATGTGTCTTTTAGGGCTTCCATTTTAGGTATTGAAGTTTCAGTGAGCAATATCTGCGATAAATGAAAGCTTCGCCAGGGGGTTAACTTAAGTCGGACTTTTTTGGATCACTGGTTTTCAGTCAGGGCAGCTAAAATAACATGACAGTTAGCTTTGTTAGCATGCAGGTAGCACATTAGCCATAATAGCTACGACCAATTTGTAAGACTGCTAAGCTGTTTGAAGTAGACTTGTGATAAGCCAGTTTCCTTTGGCATATCTGGCACTCAACTTTGGGGGGATCATCTTTTGTAGCTATTCCAGATGCCTGACTTTTGCGACATCTTGCTAGCATGTCAGTAGGCCTGTCACATGTGGTCAAACTGTCCCAGTTTCAGTATTGCAGGACTGCTGGTGACTGACGTTAGATGAGAGTTTAAATGTCCCTGTCTGAAAATAACTAATAATAATTAATACTGATGCAGAATGAATAATGTTGGATAACTACTTCTTCATTTTGGGGCACTGGGGATATTTGGGTTATGCATATACGTAAAAAACAGAGCATTCAAATAATGTTTGGACATTGATTACCACGGCAACGATCAAAGCTTCAAAGCATTCAAGTCAACCCTCGTGTCTTTGTGTATGTGCTGTGCTCCAAATTACTTCTTTGAGGACAAACCCATTTTCTAAACTACACAATTTTCTTACTGCTAGTTCTAAGTTGGTTAATGAGGCATTACCCAGTCAACATGCACAGAACCATAACAAACATCTCAGCTTATTAGACTTGTTTCATTAAAAAATTATGCTTAATTTCAAAGTGTTGAATGATTCCATGAGGCTGAAAAAGCCTTTACAGTGAGCATGCTCTTACAATATAATATTTCTCTGTTACCGTCAACAGGACACTAATGATTTTGTTTTGGAGAACAAAAGTACATGTGTCTTATCGACACATAAATTGCTCATTGAGTCTGTGTATACTTGATATAATTTACACTAGGAAGTGCACTTGTTATCTAAAGTTTGTTACATTTGACAATAAAGATAATTTTCCAATTAGACGAGAACATATGTTGTTGTTTTGGGCCTTTAACAGATAAGATTAATGTTTGAAAATGACTCACTATCTACATCTAATCAACAGCATGTTGCAGCCTCTGTCTAAAATAGGTAACAAGCCCCTTTGAATCAGCTCAGCTTCAAGGGCTCTCATCTCCTCCTCTTTATTTAATTAGGCCTCTAAGTATGCCGTATGTCTGTTTTGTTTCTGATAGGCGGCTTCAAACGGAAGCTGGTACCAAGAGACGGGAAGCGAAGGGAAAGGAAGGGCAGTTGACTCACTTATTTCCACATCTGAGAGCATGAGGCAGTGCCTTGCTGACGGGCTCTGACAAACATTGTTCCATGATGTAGTGCCCCCACCCCTGTGGAATCTCATGTCATACACAAGTTTGTAGTATACAGACGTGTTAACACTTCATGCAGTGTGTACCTTATAGCAGAGGGTTGCTAAATTGGAGGGGGACTCCTCTCGAACAGCTCTTATCTCTGCAGCTGGCACCAGTGCAAAAACATCCTGGACCATGGTGGTGGTGTCTGCCCAGAACTGGTCCCAGAAAGCATCGTCTGTGGCTTCCACTGGCTGTGGAAAAAAATATTTGCTGTTCAGTTCACATGTATTTGATTCAAATAGGGCATTTTATGTCAGTGACATTTGAAATAAAATGGCCTGACTGATCTTGCAGTGTATTTAAATGTCAGGTTTTCATCATAATGCATATATGGTTATTTGTTTTTCATTGTAAAGCATATCCATGGCCTACATAATAGCAATGCAAACACAACCTCTCCTCCAGCAGCAGTGAGGAAACATTATCTGGCACACACTCTAAGCACAGTCCACCTGCCGCATCTGCAAACGTGGTCATTGCCAGACCTACGTCATCAGATTTGATTTCGCTACGCCATCATTTATTTTAACATCAAAACTGAACATGCACAGGCTAAATAAAGTGGCCATCTGCACCGCAAAATCCACCATCATATATCCCATGATAAATACGACATATGTGGAATACAGTGCATGCAGTCTTTCTACATCCACATTATAAACATTTCGATTATGGAAAGTAAATGAATATGAGCTGAAAAGCGCGCATGCAACATTAGATTATGTTTGTTTTCTGCTCCCACATCAGAACGCGTTATCTCATCTCCTCGGTGATGCTCTCCGGCGCGCTCATCGGCACACTACCTCTCTATGTAATCCTTTATTCTGCTGTACTGGAAGCTCATATACCTGTGTTTTGGTTGTCAGCTGAATCACTGCTTTCCTGAAGTTTAATTTTGAGTCGGTGCTGCCCATTGCGATTATTTCCCTTTATTCTAGCAGGACCGCTGCTGCCGACGATCCCTGTTAATCTCACCTCCGTCCTTCGCTTGAGTCATTGGCGGAGGCGTTTTTTTTACTCTATTGGCTGGCTGGACCTGCTGCACTGTAGGGTGTAACTTCCGGGTTGTGAAGATGTCAACAATTCGGTCGGATTGGAGGCTTTGTTTCCAGCATTTTTACTGCTATAATAAAAACTGTCATTTTCTTAATGCCCTAAGCCTGGAAATCATTTCATAAGTACTCTAGTGTAAAATAGCCACACAGATTTTACGGAAATATGGGCTGCAGCTCACGTTTTGTTACATTGTATATCTGTTTTTATTAAAGACCCTTAAATCAATAATAACATTCGGCTACAATGCGTTTTATAAAACCTTAGACAGCGACATCTTTTGGCAGACCATAGGTCAGTAGGCCCTATTTGTCGATTGCTGTGTCTGATTAAGACCAATTACAGTCTTAGAGCAGACACACGTTAATAAAATTAATAAACTCACAATACTTCACCAACTTCAATGAATCAATCAAGTTAATTGGCAGCTTTCTTGTACTGCGCTGCAAACTGCGCCTGTGTCATAATGTGCTGCCTTTAGGTGCTGCTCGTAACCCCCTTTTTTCCTCATCGAAATCGTCTTAACTGCACACATAGGCTGCGTGTAACCTAGAAAAAAAGCAATGCTGTTCATCACTTCATTCACCATCACTGTTATTAAGACGATCGCGATCGCAACACTTACATATTTGGTACCACAGAAAACTCTACTTTGATTCTCTAACTAGCGTATGAACTTATTTTTTCCGACAGCACTTAAAAGCGCCATTACTCGTCTTCGCGCAGGCGCAGTGCCATGTAAACACAACTGCCGCGGTCGGTTGTGGGTTTAGCTCTAACTGTTGAAACGTACGTTAGCTAGGTTGAACTAAAACAGGTGTAATTTTACTCGAGCTCTGGCACTAAGCTCGTTAGAGTTTTATATAAAAGGGCAGGATATTTTTTTGTAATATGTGCTAGAGTCGGCTAAGAGAGAGAGTATTATCTACGAAGGTTAGCTAGCGGTGACGTTAGCTTTTAACCTAGCATTTGTGACTGGCTTTTTTTTTTTTTTTTTTTTTTTTACACCCGGTCTTTATGTAATTTTATAGCCAGTTACCCTCAGTGTCGGCGTTGTTAATTAGATTAGATTATTCTCTAGTGTTGCCAAATGGGTAGTAGTATCACATCAGTATTCAACATAGTTAGCTAGCCAGGGAACACTATTTTGCTAACTCAGGTGATAGGCCATCGACTGACAGGAAACAAGCTAACGGAATCGATAACGTCAACCGGTCGGGTCCCCCAGTCTGGTGTGAACAAACAAGGAAACTCGTCGAGATTGATTTAGTGTCATCATATGTTGACTGAAAACAGGTAAGATGAGCCTACAATACATTATGTAACGCTAACTGAAGAGATGTAGCTCGAAACAACTGTTGGAGTAACTTGCTGTGGCCTGTATTCACCACTTGCAGCAGCCATTTATATAAAAACATCGACACATGTAGCAGTTGGCCGTGCATAGGTTACAGCAACGACATACATGGGTGTGTGATGGCAGTTACTATACACCTGTGTTAAATGTCTGTCTATGTTTGTACCCCAACAGGAAACGACAGCGCAGCGGTGGTGATGAGGAGAGTGGCCACCTGGTCCCTCAAGCCAAAAGGCAGAGCAGAGCTCATCCGCTCTCTCCTGAGCCAGGCCGGGATGCCTGGGACTCTGAGGTACTAACACATGTCAAGGGAAATGCAATCATACAAATTTAGAAACCACCTGTAATTAAGTTTTTAAACTGTAAAGAAGACTAATCGTCGCCTTATTAGTTGGTGCTCACAGCTAGCTTATAAACTAATGGGTAATTATGTGTGGATGGATAATGGGTGGATCTGAGGTATCGTAGAGTGACAAACAGGGAGAAATAGGATTCAAAAAAGCATCTTGTACCTGAATATTACCCCACTGTTTTAACTATGCTCCACTGTCTGATTGGGTAAAGACTTAACGTACCAGGTAAAATCCTCACACTCTGGGGAATCATCTGTTTCATGGGAATAACGCATGATACAACTCCAGTGAAGTGTTCTTCCTGAACAAAGCAGTTGTCTCTGCATGGTGAAAAGTTATAGTAGTTATCCACAGCTGCACCAGGAGCACCTCACATTCCCATCGACACACCAGTCCTTATTCACCGTTAGGCACACTCCTCCTCTCCTTCTCCCGTCAGTCCTCTGCTCTGTCTGACCAGCATATAGAAAAGGAGCCTCCTGGTTGAATGGCACTGACTAGCAGGATGCTAGTTCAGGTCCCACTCACAACAGATTCATTTAATAGTTAACATTTTGTATTCAAACTAAGAATTACTATCTACCATTTTAAAATGTTGTGGTTGGTCTTCTCTGCTGTCACACCACAAGTTGGATTCGAAGCAGACTGAGACCTCCTTTCCAAGCCGTTTTGGTACAGTTTGACAGCTTTCACACTAGCATGAACTAACTGAACGAGATACGCAAACGCACCAGAGTTTGTTTGAGCTGCATTAAACAGGTTAGGCATGAAAGCACCCATGCTTGGTTAGAAACATCGTGGCTAATGAGGTCTTTTTGAGGTCTAGTTTTTGCATGTATGCCCCCAAAGCGTGTCAGTTGTAAGGCTTTGAATTTATCTAGACAAAACAAGCCTTGATGTTGATGATCATATCTAGCTGGCACACGGTTAATGCTGACATCTGCTTTTCAGTCGTCCAACAGCGAGAGCAGCAGCAGCATCAGCAGTCCAGAGCATGCAGCCGGGAGTTGTGGCAGCCAGTGCATCGTGGGCCCCTGCAGTCCCCTCAGCTCCGGTGACCCCTCAGAACTGGCCGGCCCTACGAGCCTGGCGTCCTACCTGCAGATCAACCGCATCCTGAAGCAGGCCCACTTCCAGAGCCTGCAGAGCCGATGTCAGCTCAGAGACACATGACGACCTAATGTCTCCCTCTGTCAGCCACCAGAGGACTGAGTCCCTGAGGCGTGCCAGAGCACCACACGCTGATTCACTTCACTCAGCTCTTCCCACCCATCTCCAGTTACTGTGATATCTCGCAGCTCTACATATCTGTGGATGGAGACCAGCTCCTGGTCAGGTATCTGGAGGGGGTCCATCATTCAAATAAATCAAAAGTGATAATCATGTTAGCAATAATAACCGTGTGATCAGCGTAAACATTTTTTGTGATCCACTTGATTTCTGACCAGTCTGGTTTACATGCTGCTCTCAGAGCCTTATTGTGACTGAGTGATGATGACGACGAATCCCCGTGTTTTGTCTTTAATGTATGAAAACAGTGCTACTGCAGCTGCAGGAATGGCACCAAACAATTTTTAGGCCGGTCAGTGTGACTCGTTTAGTCTGCTAGTAGGGTACTTGGGTTGATTAATGCTGAATCTGATGTCTGTGTGAGTACATGGACCAGTCTCAGGGAAGATTTGCACTTGTCTTGGACTGCTCATTTGCTTTCATATTCAGACAGGGCCTCCTTTACAGGGACCTGTAGAAGCCATGGGTGGCAACTTAGCTGACGAGGTTATGTTTTTTGTCCTTGTTTTGTTAGTTTATAGAGTACCTAGATTTTAGTTAAACTCAGTGAAGAGTCAGGAATACGTGATCTGGTTTGAGCGTGGTTTACAATTTTAAAATGATTTCATAACACTGCAAGATGTGGAATTTTTAGGACTTTTCCACATTTTCCATCAACTACTGCACTTAAAAAACTAAAGTGGCACATTTATCCTGTATATAACAATTGCATACAGTATGTTTAATGTTCCTAATGCAGATTAAGATCCTTAAAGCATAGCTGATTAGTAAAACATTGTGCAGCCTTGGCAGTGGTGTTCACAGGTGCTGCTTCCCAGCTGTGTTTCATTTTCATTATCACCTAAGTTTATGATCTCAACATAACTCGTCCTGTCTTCTCATGATCACTGAATAATAACGCTGTAGATGTGACATGGGGATAATTATCTATAATCAAATGTCACTGCTCACATTTGACTTCAGAATCTAACACATTTATTGTAAACTAATGCAACTACAACCAAAGGAAGAGTCTGTGTAATGTTACTATGATAGAGAGTGAGGGTGCACCCGTGGTTGTCAGCAGTTATGTAACAGCAGCAAAATGATCGTGCAAAGCAATGTCAAGTAGAGATTGCCTTATCTGTATTGATTATAGATAATTACAACATCTGGCGTGGCTTTTCTAATAATCATGAGAATACAAATTGACTCATAGCAATATTGGTCATGATGACAAAGCCTCTGGTGTCGAGATCATGAGAGAAACATTTAGAATATTTCGATTATTATGACATTAGGAGATAAGTAGAGCAGTTAGGGTTATTTTTGTTTCTTGTGATCATAGAAAAATATAATGATCACATCACCAGCGTTCTCTCGTGACCACAAAAGCAAAATGATGGCTACACCCATGAACCCTACAACCTCCCGTACTCCTTTAGGCTTTCTCAATCTTCTATTGATTGTATGGAGCGCTGTTTGATGTGGCATTTGAGCATGTAGGAAAATGTAGTTCTTTCTGTCTGGAGGTTGCAGTTCACTCTTTAGGAACAAAAAGACATTCCCTAGGCTTTTGTTTGCAATATTACTGGAGCCACTAAAATGCTGTTTTAATTGCAGATGAGCCTCTCTACCTGTGCACTACCATTTCAAGGTTGCTGTATGCGTGTCCCTGTGCACTGAACATCCAGGTACAAACACTGACCATAAGGCTGTGCATCTCTCCTGTTACTTAGAGCAGGATTGGTTTCATCGCTGAAGCCTCATCCCAGGAGTAAGCTCAGCTATTTAATTTCTTTTATTTTTCTCAGACTGGTGTGTCAGGAATGAAAGCATTTTGAAGATGTGTTTTTTTTTTTTAATGATATATTTTTTTGTATTTGGTAATGTACATGACATTAGCCTGCCATTGACTTTTTTTCCTTGTAAATACTCCATTTCAGAAATAAAAATTAATGTTTTTGAATAAAGGCATTATTTACTTTTTTTATGAAGCTGCATTTGGACCCGTTAAATAATTAAAGTCTGTAACATGGTGATGCTGGGAGCATCTCGGTTTCTACTCTGTGAGAAAATACCTATTTGCTTTGCATGCTATGTCCTGTATGTGAGGGCAGGAATTCCCTCTGTCCCCACATCCTCCCCTTTTCCTCCAAATGGCCAGTAATGAATGACTCCCCATGCATTGAGACCATCATTAATGAGATATGACCTGTGTCTGAGCTAGGAGCAGCGAAAGGTTTCTTTAATTAGCACACTACATGTCCTTGTCTTGTCACAGACACAGTAACAGATTACATACATTAATGCACCACATGTAACCACGGTTACGTTGCCGGGGCCACTGTGGGTCCTCATTACTTGCCTTTTTTTGATTCCCTTGTTCCACCTCTACTAAGTTAGAGATGAAGAACGAGCCAATGATAATTCAGGATTAGCAATCTCCCTGCTCGGTAACAATGTAGCTCTTTTCCTTTCTCAGGTGCATGCCTTCTCGTTATCTTGAACCATGCAGTGCAGCAACATACAGAGAGGGACAATTAGTGAGCTGTACGTGAACCTTTCATCTTGGCATCATCTGAAGTATGCCTTTTTTGAGCGGCCTGTTGTATATTGAAGCAAACATCATGTTAGAGCCGGGCATGTGCTGTGTAATTAGTTGGCGAGGATGCAATTAGCAGCAGCTTGGATAAATATTTTCCCGGTGATAATCCAAATTACTGTTTGAGGAAAAACATCAATATTAAAGAAATTATTTACTCCAAAATGGAAATTCAGTGAAGCCTTCATAGTGTCCTGTTGACATTAAGTAACGCTCTGGTAAGAGATCAGTGTTTACGACAAGGAACATATATGATTTTTAAGAATTTAAAAGCACAATGACTCAAACTTGTAACACAGAAAAAAAAAGTCTCACATTACATATCAGTGTTTCTCACATGCTGCTTGGCGCATCACACACGGGCAACTCTCCCAGCACCAGCTTATGTGTGCTCACCTATCTCTTGTGATAACTTGACTCCTTTACAAGAGTCAAGTAGTCCGCAGAGGTCTCCTCCTCTCCTAAAGAAACAGACCAGGGTTCTCATTTATAAACATTGCGTATGCACAAAACAAGGCCTGAAAGAGGCGTATACGCTATGTCCCACGCGAAAGTTGTAATGTATAAAAACAGACTTGATGAGAGAAAATTTGACCCATGCTTATGAACATTTTGGAGATGGAAAATTGGTTTTTGTCTGTAGGTATGATTTTAATATGGATCCTACGCACTGTTTTATAAATGAGACCCCAGGTGATTTAAACCAGTAAAAACACTGAATAAAGTGATTTCATGTTTTAAAAAAAACCCTGTTTTTCCAACTTCTAACTACAGTGGCTGATGCTAAAACACAAATGGTCCTATCTAGAGCCAGTTTTTGATGTGTCAGCTGGGGGCTACTGTAGAAACATGGCGGTGCAACATGTCGATCTCCGTAGATGAGAACCTGCTCAATGTAATGGTGATATACTTGTATCCCATTTCTGTGAATATATCCCCCTAAATCATCCACATTGACCTTTAAAGTGCAGCAGCCGGTTGTTCCATAAGGACATCACAGTGCAGATAAATTAGCTTTTTGCTATTTTACCATTAACAAGAGGAACACTGCATGGCATACTGGATAAGACATAGCAAAGTGAGTTTATTTAAAGTTTGGACTGTGAAACATTTAAATTCTGGATGGATGGTGGATGCATATTCTGCCACTGTTTACATAGACACACAAAATAAGTCACAGATTTTAATTTATACAGAACAAAGAGTAAAAAGCACACATTTATGAAGTATAAATCTTTGATAGTGTGTTTGCCCACCAGCAGATGTTCTGAGTCCAGATGTTCATGAAAAGAGCAGTAGAGGGCAGCACATTCTGAGTGTTAGCTGGACATAAACTGTATTCCTGCATCTCATAAAAGCTGGGGGAATTCTACAACAGGGTCAAAACGTGTGGGCTACGTAGAAGATATTTATCTTTAATCTGTTTTCACACACACACACACACACACACACACACACTCACACACACACACACACATACACACGCTGTCCTTTCCGGGCAGCACACAGATATGAAGGTGGGCGGTGATGAATGGCTCATATCAGTTGTGTGGAGAGGCAGGAGAGAGTTAAATGAACTGTCCTTGTTCTGGGGTCTATGTATGCGCATACATTGTTATATTTTTACCATGGCCAGCGAAAAAATCTGGGTTAGTCTTTCGTTCCTTTTCTTTATGTCCTCTCTGTGAAGATCCACATCTCTCCTCAAAGGCAAAAGCACGGTGAACATTAGCTACACACAACAAATACAGACAAGCAGACAAACTACTGTATGTTTTAGATTTATCAGTGTCTGGTTCACCTTTAGCTTCAAGACTTGTGTAATCCATACAAGATTGTTTTGGAAGACACACTGGTCAGGGGACAGTCCTTCAAGTAAGTGGCTTTGGTATATTCAAAATATGAATTATGTCAAAGCTAAAAGAACATGAGCAAAGAAAGCAAAAGTGAACTGAAGCTGACCTGGTCACCCTTGTGTCTCTTTGCCAGACTTTGGCTGAAATGTATTTGGGCAGCTGCTGCTTAGCATGAGATGGTGATTGGGTTGGCATCAAGTGTACAGCTTTCCCTCGCCAGCCAACACAAACATCTGCTTTGCCTCCCCACCACCATTTCGCCCAACATCAAACAACAAAGCTCGCCTGCTCTGCTGCCCCCATGGCCGTCCGAAGAATTAATGACCCACCAAGCACATTAGCGGTGCCCTATTGCCCCAGCCTGGCTGGAGCAGGGAATAGGGAAAGCCGTGGCAGGCGAACAAGGAGAGGGAAGGGTTAGTGGGTCAGGATGATGAAGTACTTCACAGGTCAGGAATTAAGATGGATAGATATCCAGGTGTTATTGGGATGTTTACTGCATTTATGCATGGACGGATTACCGAACGGGCACTAGGCACAGGTGCAGGGGCCCAAAGTGTCAGGAGCCTCCCCCCTCCCTCAGCCTTCATCTGCAAAATGTCACTCAATTTTACACGTGGTGACCAGGACGAGACTCAAAAAGACCGTAAAGAGATGCAGAGGAACTGCCAAGAGACATAAATTTACCATAAAAAGGGCCAAAATGACCCCACAGAGACACAAAATGATGACAAATGAACACAAAATAATCACAAGGAGACACAAAATGACTACAGGGAGACACACAATGACCAAAAAGAGACAAAAAGGCCTCACAGAGTCACAAAACATCTACAGAGAGACACACAACAACCGAAAAAGACACAAAATGACTGCAGGGAGACAAACAATGACCAAAAAAGGACACAAAATGACTTCAGGGAGACACACAACAACCACAGAGGGCACAAAATAACCTCAAAGAAACACAAAATGACCACAAAGAGACACACAACTACCAAAAAAGACACAAAATGACCCCAAAGAGAGACAAAATGACTGCAGGGAGACACACAGTTACCAAAATAGACACAAAATGACCCCAAAGAGACAAAAAACATCTACAGGAAGATACACAACGACCAAAAACAGACACAAAATGACCAAAAAATTACACAAATCGACTATAGGGAGACACACAACAACCAAAAAAGACTCAAAATGACCACAAAGAGTCACAAAATATCTACAGGGAGACACACAACGACCAAGAAAGACACAAAATGACTTCAGGGAGACACACAACAACCACAGAGGGCACAAAATAACCTCAGAGAAACACAAAACCTCCACAAAGAGATACACAACAACCACAAGGAGACAAAAAATGACCACAAAGAGGCACAAAACCTCTACAGGGAGACACACAACTACCATAAAAGACACAAAATGACCCCAAAGAGAGACAAAATGACTGCAGGGAGAGACACAGTTACCAAAATAGACACAAAATGACCCCAAAGAGACAAAAAACATCTACAGGAAGACACACAATGACCAAAAATGACACAAAATGACCTCAAAGACACATAAAACCACTGCAGGGAGACACACAACAACCAAAAAAGACACAAAATGACCTCAAAGACACACAAAGTTGTTACAGTGGAACACAAATTAACCACACAGTGACATAAAATGATAGCAAAGAGACGCACAATGACCAATAAAGACACAAAATGACCACACTCAAAAAAGAGAGACAGTAAACCACCACAATGTCTGTTATGTCTTGCTCCTATTTGGTTGAGGTGGTTTGGCCTTCTGCATATCTGTGCCCAGGGGCCCGTTGATTTATAATCCAACCATGTATTTATGCAAGTCCTTTGTCATCTTGCAATCGGCCTTTAGCATTAATTTGACAGCCATGTTGACAGATAAAACAAGTCCTGGATTTGAAACAGTATTATTGTTAAAAACTCTGGATTTGCCATCATGTTGTGTTTTCTGTGAAAGCAAAGTATTACTTTCCATGTTTGGCACTTGACCCGGTAGTTGACTCAGGACAGAGGCTGTTAAAATACAAAATGTATGGCTATGAAGGCACAGCACTCAGACAGAAACGACCCGCTCTTGAGTGAAAACAAAAACAGAGGAGGATCTTCTCCCTTATCCTCTATGAGCCGGCCCGTGCTGCTGCTGTTAGTGCTCACTCTTTCCCCAACTGTTGTTGTCAGGGTGTGGAGAGGAGGACTGGGTTATCTCACTGGCTGTAGCCTAAACACATGGCCTCGATGCAGCTGAGAACCAGTTGTCATTTCCCTAAGAAAAGGAAAGCAAACAGCTCAGCCACTCTCTATAGAGCTGTCTGCAGTTTTAAAGCTTTGAACGGACTGACCAGGAAAGTAAGACAGCCGACAGGCTTGGCACACTTGGGTCAGTGTCTCCGGTTCCACTTTATGGCCTCCCTATTCAATTTCACACAATGCGCTCCTGAGACAATGTACAGTAGACTGTTTTCATTGCACA